GAAGGAAAGGTACAAGAGAAAACTTGAGGCAACGAAAATGGATTTCTGAAGAAGTTCAGCTGGAAAATCTAGACTAGAAAGAGTCGCGAACAACAGAATAAGAGAAATTATGAAAGTAAAACATACAATAGTAGACGATATTGGTACCCAACAACTTAGATCGTACGGTCATGTACAGAGAATGTCTGAAGAACGTCTCCCAAAACAAGTCTTAATGTGGACCCCTCACGGTAGAAAAAAAAAAGGAAGATCCCGCCTTAGTTGGAGAGAACATATCAATAGAGAAATGAAAGGCAGATACATAGAAGAAGACTTATGGATGAATCGAGAGGAGTGGGAACTGGGTTTCGGAAGATGTAGGCGAACGTTTTAAATCAATATATATATATATATATATATATATAATATATATATATATATATATATATATATATATATATATATACATATATACGCAGTGGTGAGTGCCTTATCACCCGGCTTTTTAACGTAAGAGATAGAAAACACAGTTACCTTGTGAAATAAAAGGAGATGAAACTCGTAGAGGTGGGAAATAATCGATAGAAACCTATAATTTACATTACATTACGACTATCGATAGTCTCACACCTTTAGACGTTACCTTCGATCTAAATCACCTCGGTCATAATTATTATGTTTGACAGTTTGACGTCGTATGTGTGACGTATTTCCATTTTTTAATTTAGATAAAGTAAAAACTGATTGACCACAATAAAGCAAAAATGTGAATAAAATAATTTAATTAATAGTGATTACTTATTCTAAAGTTTTAAATTATTAACCAAGAATAATTTCTACTATGATTTGAGAAGTTTCATACACTCTTGTCACAGAATAATTAGCAATCCTTCGTGGATTAGTGGTAAGAATTCGACTATGAGACGTAGATGATTAGAGTTCAAAACCTACATGAGGTTTTCTTTTTCTTTTTTTAATAATTTTAAATTATGCAGGGATCGTTTTGCTTTGAATCACTAAACATTTATGTCAGTCGTTACTAGTATTTGAAGTGTTTAAAGTTAAACATAAATATCTTATTGAAAAAATAGTGTCGTCGTACTTTCGAAAATAAAGTAAAAATTCTTCAAAATTAAAAGAATGTTTAAATAAGTAAAAATTTTACAAAAATAAAAAAATATTGTAAATAAACGTGTCTACAATATGTTCAAATAAGCCTTCATTAGCAGCAGACTAATAACCCAAACTGTCACTAAAGAATTATAAAAGTCTGATGGATCAGGGTTCAAGGCACGATGTACTCATGCAGGCGGTTAGGGTTCAAATCCTACACGAAGTTTTTACTTTTTTAAAAATTTGAAATTATGCAGATATTATATCGTTTTGCTTTAAATCATAAAACATTTATTTCAGTCTTTACTCAGTCTACTATAATCTATCTCAATTTATTCAAGTATTTATTCTAACATCAGAAATTATTAAAATAAAATATTTTTGAGGTTATCCGTATAATAAGCCACGTCTAACGTCTAAAGGTGTGAGACTATCGATGGTGGTAATGCAATGTAATGTAAATTATAGGTTTCTATCGATTATTTCCCACCTCTACGAGTTTTATCTCTTTTTATCTCACAAGGTAACTGTGTTTTCTATCTCTTACGTTAAAAAGCCGGATGATAAAGCACTCATCACTGTATATATAAATATATATTATATAAATATATATTATATAAATATATATTATATAAATATATATATATATATACCTGACTGTAAAAACACATCCTCATTGACTGCAAACAATTCACCAACCTGTATAAAGCACTGGACGTGAAACCTACTACTCTTAAGGGCGTAGGCGCAAAATTTCGGGCGAATGCTTTTTAAATTCATTCATTTTTTTCGAATCCTGAGAAAACTAACAAATATTTTTGAAAAATTTAAACGCAGAATGAAAGATTACATTATTACCGAGGGCCGAAAGTCCCTTAGAATAAACAAAAAGTATTTTTGAATGAGATATTAGAAATTAAAAATCACACTAAATTTTCTCTTTTTTTTTCACCCCTGTAACTTATTAAAATAAACATTATAGAAGTTTTTAGGGACTTTCGGCCCTCGGTAATAATGTATTCTTTCATTCATTTAAATTTTTCAACAATATTTATTAGTTTTCTCAGGATTCGAAAAAAATGAATGCATTTAAAAAGCATTGGCCCGAAATTTTGCGCCTACGCTCTTAAGGAAATGCTCAACAACATTATAGAGATCAAGAAAACTATGCAGTTTCTAAAAACCGCCCAACTTTACTGCAATATTTAACCTAATAGACATTAGTTAAAGTGATATAATTGTTATTTGTTTTCATTATTTATTATATATTTAACATTATTGTTCCTGTACCAATAGCCATAGTTGACCATAGTAGAGGTACATTATGTAAAAAAGCTACTTTATAATAAAATTGAAGACAATATTTTGATAGTTGAAAAATAGAACTTTATTAAACAAATTAAGAAGAACAATTAACAAAACAATGAGTATAAATCACTATAAACTTTGGCCCTCCGTATATAACCTTTCTTTCAATATTCCATTTATCTAAAATTGGTGTATATCCTAAGAAATTTAAAATAGAGTAGATTGGTGTTTGAGAAAAAGTTGCAGAAACATTTATCTTTGGTATGTGTCCTAACAATACATAATATCTAAATTTGCTATCTACTTATTTTCGAATAATTTACTAAATTCACTTTCTAGTCTAAAAACATTAAGCTTTGAAGTCAAATGCCAGGTTTCGTACCCATCTATTTCTATCTTCTTGTAGGAACTTGAATAACTTATCAGTTCTAAGGAATTGTCAAAGTCCAGATCAGCAATGAGTATGGAATTTTCTTGATTTTTGTAATCTGGTTGACAGTTGCTATGAGCTGGTCCATTACATATCAAGTAAATATCAGTCAGACTTACATTTTCTATTTGTACATCGTTTTCTTTCAGCAATAACAGTAACACTCGTTCAGATACTTTATTTAAATGGTATGTTTCATTGTGAACAGGTACACTTCGTTTATAGATTCTGGTTACAGGAGACAGTTTGATAGATTTGTCTTGCCAGTACCACATTTTTAATATAAATCCTGTTATATATCCTTTAGATGAATATATGTTAGGTTTTACAACAGGAAATTTGAAAGGAACAGGTTGCATGACTATGGAATTATCAAATGTCCAAAAATTTAATTTTGTCTGATTGACACTGTATAAAGTAACGGTGCTTTGACATTTTGGACAAGTATTTATATTTTCCACTGTGAGTTTCCTGTCGCCTACTTCATAAAATGTTTCAAATCCTTCATTTTTTCCTAGATTGAGTCTTAAATTAGCACTGGAATTATAATATTTAGATTTGATATCTTCTAAAAGAACTTCATAGGTTACCAAATTTCCTGGCATTTGTATACATCGATAGCTGATGGAATATGTATTGCAAGATGCCAGACTTATAGATGAACAAGTTGATGGTAGTTGAATATGTTTGAGAGCTTGACCTGTTTTTCCAGATATTATTAAAAAGCCGCTTTTCTTGTATATTGCCAGCAATTCACTTACTCCGTCCTTGTTTAAATCTTCTATTTTAACAGGCATATCTATTTCTGGTATAGATTTTTCTTCTAAACTGTGAGCATGCCATAGCGCTTCACCAGATATAGTTTCCACTACTTTTAAACCTCTGCTGTCTACAACCAAACAGTCATTGTATCCATTATTGTCGACATCTATGATACTACAGTTCATTTGTATTGGAAAGCTTTCTTGTTGAAAATCCCAAGCTACTGCACCAGTTGTTCCCATAATAGATAATATTCCATTTTTGAATGGTTTCGAATCAGTAAAACTACCCTTGTACATTAAGGCAAGATTTAAATTTTTCTGAAAGACACCTCGAACTAAATTTACACTTCCCAAGAATTCGAGATTTTCATTTATAGATTCCCAGTTTGGTATTTTTAATGAGCATGTATTAAAATCGTTGCAGGGTAAAATCCACAGAAAAGTAATTATTGGTAAAAAACAGAATATTATGGAAATTGCCAAAGCTATTTTACGTTTTGTTGATAGTTTATGGCGAAAAGTCTTGAATTTGTCAATGTCCTCACCGTAGTCTTTCGTGATGTGACCATTTTTCGGCTGTGAAAAACTAACTTTGGATTGATTGACACCGTTTGTTATATAATGCGAATTACCTTCTAATCTCTCCTCTTTTTCTGAATCCGAATCACTTATAGACTGAGGTAAAGGAACATAAATACCTTGAGAAGAGTGCGACATTTTTGTATCACCTGTCTGCTGGCGGTTATATTGATTTTGAGTTTACCCTAGCGACATTTCACAACACGAGTTTATTGATTTTTCGGCGCCGCAGTTAAAATGCATACGAACAGATGACGCGCGCATCGGAATCAAAAATAGATTGTGACTGCAACCGCTGGAAGTGGCTATTTTCTGACGAGAAGTTTAATTTCGTTACGCGTCAGTGGAAATTATACAAATTTATCTTATTATATATATTTGTTCGTAATGTTGTTATATAACACGTGTTTAAAAATAGTTTTACTACTTTTGTGATACAACACAATTATTTTGATTATATTATACCTATTTTTATCCGTTAATATGTATACATATTTATATCTTGGCGCCTTATTAGCGACAGTAGTATTCATGTATACAGAGTGATACTCTGAGGATTGTGTGAATATAAGAAAAGTTTTTATAACTAGTTTGACGGAACTCTTACACAGTTTAAAATATCGCGCAATTTAAGTACTTTATTTTAAAATTTACAGAGATTACTACGTGAATTAAAACAAATGTCAAAATACCAAATCTTATGCAGGATATTCAATTAGCAATTAGCGTACTTTAAAAAATCGGCTTCACTTATTTTTCCCGAATTCTACATCTAGTTTATTATTACCGCAACTATAGTTTAACATAAACTTGTTTTTTTTTTGCAGATTTCTACTATGATGAAAATGTTACGAGCTTCTTACGACAAGAAACAAGAAAAACTTAAAGAAGAAACTAAAGAGCGCTTGGAAAGACATCGTAAAGAAATCGAAGGTATAGAATTCAACAAACTTAAAAAATTAAAGGATGTTAAGAAGCAGGTCCATAGAATGAGAAGTAAACAGGCTAATAGTAAAAAAGGGAAAAAAGGAAGATAATTGTTTGTTGTAAATAAAGTTGAATTTTAATAATTTTATTTTAGTGTCATTTGCGTTTTTTTCTTCTCGGGAAATACTTACGAAAAATAGTAATGGACTGAAAATAAAAATGGAGCAAGATTTAACTATAAAATTACACAAGCTGTTCCAAAAATTTAAAATTATGAACTTTCGTCACCGATTCTGAAATCATCTGTTTTCACTATTGTCTGTTTCTGAATGTAATTATTTAAAGTTTTTTTCCGTATAATAGTCCCTATTAATGAATGATTTTCTATTAATGAACAATTTCATTATAGGCAACACAACATACATTGCTTGCATAAATTAATTAAACGCTCTGTGATTGGCAGTGACCTGTGGTGTAGGCAACCAAACATATACCTATTTATATTCCCATTAAAAAATTAATACTATAATGTCATTGTATTTCATTATTTACTTTATTGTTTAAAATTCTGTATATTTGAAAAATCAAAAGTTTAATTTAACTCCACGTGACAGAAATGCAAATGAAATACCTTTAAATTTACTGCCTGAAAAAAGCAGAGTGTTGTACGATAAAACGTACGCTGAATTTATTGCATGGTGTGACGAGAGAAAAATAATAAGATATTCAGAATCTGTATTGTTGACATATTTTTCAAAAATTGCCGAAAAAGGACTAATAGCAAGTTTGTGGCCCAAATATTCGATGTTACAATCAACCCTAAATTTAAAATCAAACATTGATATATCTAAATATGATAAGTTAATTATGTTTATCAAGAAAAAAAGAACAGGTTATTGACTAACGACGTTTCTAATGATAAAGGTAAACCAGTAAATTAAGTTTATTTATTTAATACTCGTAATTATACTAATTAATTTTCGGAGTGGCTAGTGCGTTAAGAAAGGACAAACTATTGAAATTAGAAACAAATAACGTTCAAGAAGTAAGTTTCTTGTCACAATAGAAATATCAAAAACACACACAAATAGAATATATTTACCGTAGTAGATAACGAAGCAAATACCATTCTTAATGCGATCAAAAACTATATTTCTTTAAGACCGGCACACACACCACATAAACGATTTTTCATTTTTTATAAAAACAAGAAATGCTCCACACAACCAGTTGGCATAAATACATTTTCCAAAATTCCTTCCGTTATTGCTAAATTCTTAATATTAGAGCACCCGCATCTCTACACTGGGCATTGTTTTAGACGTTCCTCTACCTCAATACTGTGTGACATATACACCCCCTCTATGGCTCAGTGGTAAGAGCGCCTACCTTTAAACCTAAAGGTCGTGAGTTCGAATCTCACCTGGGTGGAGAAATTTTCGTTTATTAAAAATTAATGAATGAAAATAATTTCTATCCTTGTGCGATCGGTACTCACCGGAGGGACCGCAGACGTTCGGATACAATTAGCGTCTCAGCAAAGACAATGACGTCGACTTTGCTAAGTATCAAGACAATTACTCTACACACACACTACACTAGGTACCTGACTGTACCATGCCAATGATCATTATTTGTCGAGGCATTAACTCAATAAAAAAAAAAAATACTGTGTGACAGTGGTGTAGACTTTTCAGCTATTAAGAGACTATGAAGTGGCTGGAAATCGACTGCTGTAGCAGAAGGTTATATAGATAATTGTATGCAGAATAAACTTGAGACGGTTGAAAAACTCTTGGGACAAAATACCACTAAACCTTGTCGAAGTACTTCCTTCAGCACCACCGCTTCTGCTTCTATCACATAATTTACAGAGGTCCAAAAAGACTTAAATATAAATTTCTCAAAATTCTATATAGCAGATAATCATTTTCAAGCTTTTTAATTTCAGTAATTGTACTATTTCGTATATTAATGTTTACAATAATAAAACTACCACTAAGAAAAATTTAACTTTGAATAAAGTTAATGAAAGCTGAAAAAATTGTTGTTAATCGAAAAGTAAATAAAAATTTAAACTAAGATATCTTTATTTCTGAAAAGTACGATCGATGGAAAAGTTTTGTAACGATCTCGTCAATTAAAATAGCGATTAAATCTCGAACATTAACGCGCTCGCTCCGCTCACGCGTTAAAATATCTCAATTGTTAATCGCCCTTATTAATACACTTGTTGGTTAAATAACTATTATGAATCTAGTTACTTAAAGTTGTAAATTTGAGAATTTTTATTCAATATTTAAAACCTAAAAAACCAAATGATTATTATTTCTGAAAGGTGGTCAACATCAAATGGTCCCGATTCTGTGCAATACAAAAGATGCAAAAAAAGTTTGTCACTTCTACCTCCGGACTTCCTCCTAAAAAATTTAGCTTTCGTAATTTCCCTGAAAATCGGAAGGAAAAAGCAGGAAACTAACAATTTCTATTTTTTAAATTGTTTTTTAGATACACAACTATTTTAATAAATCTTATATCCACATAAAGAGCGCATCTACTTCAACTTCATATTCTTCATATCGCTTTATTGTTCAAAATTATTGAAAAATAGAAATTGTGAATTTTCCGGCATTTTTAAATTTTTCAGTGAAATGAAAATTATCCAGTTGTTAATATTTTGTCCATTTATCCCACTTTAAAAAAATAATGAAGTTTCTACGTTTTCTAGAATCGGAGATATTGCAAATTTTTCAGTGCGCTTCAATTTGAAGTTCCAATCTCAAAATCTGGTAGACTACAAGCTTATTTTCCTACTTTTAGACACTTTGTCTAAAACCAAACCTAACGATGAATAAGAAAGGACAAAGAATTGTATTTATAAAATACCTTGTGAATGCGATCAATTTTATTTAGGTGAAACATCAAGGCCCTGAAATGTTAGAATTGGTGTTAGTTAGAATAGATCTCAAATATTAAAACACGCGTGGGATAATGAAGATAGGGTTCAATGGAATGATTCAAGTATAGTCCTAAAAGAAACGGATGGTAAAAAGAGAAAAATCAAAGAAGTGGCTCTAATTATGCTAAATGTGACTAATTGTGTCGCAAATTCCTCGGCAAAATGTAGTAGGATCTTATTACCCATACTAAGAGGAAAATACCAGTATTAGTAAGTCAGTAACATATTGAGGATACATCATTTATGTTTTTTAAATAACAAACATATAAAATCAGAATTTGGTTTCTATTGAAAGTAAATATCTCATGTCGGGATAGTATTATGAGGTTTTTTCCTCATAATTTACTAAGGAATCACTAACAAAAGAATTTTATTGTCTATTTCAAGATTTTTTGACAGATATTCTCAAGTTAAAGTTGATTTCAGTAAAATCGTCCCAGGAACTCAACTCAACAATATTGGCAATATCACTTTAAAGTCGTCTACTTTAAAATGTATATCTGAATTGTCAATATAAGTGAGTCAGATAAAATTTTTCACCAAGTAAGAAAAAACAAAATTTGTTTAATTTACTAATGTTTGTATTTTGAAATCGATTTACGAAGTGGGAATTGAAACGTCAATAAACTAACTCGAACCTTTAATTGTGGCTTATTCCCATTTAAATAGTAATTACTTTAATTTTAATATTCAAAAATCCATCGCTCTTTGTTAAATGCCTTTAGAAGCATACTATAAACAGCAATAAGTGTTTAAACTTTTGATATTTGGGATTAACATGTAACAATAATTCCTTAACTGACAAACCAATCTGTTTTACCTGAAATTTTGTTCTGAATACCTTGTACTGAATAGTGCAAAAAATGTTTTTTTCCAGTTATCACGATAAATATTGATGGATTTGTACTTAAAAAAACTCAAATTAACTGTCTCTACATAACACAATAGTTTGTTAATACAAAAATTGCTCCTAATAAAAAAAATCACATTTTCTGACTTTGACCTTACCTTTGTTTATAAAAAAATAGGGCCAATCTGACAGTACCTTGATACATATTTTTAATTTATGAGTCCAAACGATCAGATATATGTAATATTTTTTTTCGCACATTTCTTTTGCTACAAAATCTCATTGTTATTGGTGATTTTGTTATACAAAGGTTCTATATACATGGGGTCTCCTTGTAGTGCCTATATGTGATCAACAACTCTTTTCCTTTCTGCATAAAACATCCTGGTTAGTAACGTGGTCAGTATAGAATATCTTCAGGATTCAATGATAAAGCCACATTTTCAGATCTTACTTTCTCTATTATTTCTAGGGAATGGTTCCAATTTTCAGTGACGTTTGTATCAAGGTAGGTGTATGTTTTTCCTCTTTCTATTGGTTGACCATTCACATTGATTCTTTCAATTTGCTGTTCCTTCTTAGAGATCATCATACATTTTGTTTTCTTAATGTTCAGTGAAAGTCCATATCTCTGACTCACTTCTGTGATTCTATTCATTAACTCCTGAGAGCTTCGTAGCTGTCAGCGAATACCACTGTGTCATCCATGTATCTGATGTTATTGATACATTCTCCTTTAATTCTAATTCCGGCTTCAACATCCTCTACTGCTTTTTGAAAGATTTCCTCAGAGTATATGTTAAACAGCAAGGGTGATAGTATACATCCTTGTCAGACCTCACATTTGATTTTGATATCAGATTCTTCTGTCTCTATATGATGATACACAATGTTTGATTCCAGTAAAGATTGCTAATAATTTTTAGATCACAGGTGTTTATTCCAATATTTGTTAATACAGTCCTCTCTCTCTATAACGATATGCAAGGGACCGGGAATTTTCATCGTTATAAGGAGAGATCGTTATACAGAGAGAGACAAAATTCGGTACTGTAATATTAATAATACTGTACTAAATAAATTATTTTGATTTAAAGAATTATCCAAACGAATCTAAATGAATTAGCATTATATTCCACAAAGATTTATTAACGAATAATATAAGCAATACAGTATAAAAAATGACTGTACAATTAGAACATGTGTACTGTACAATAAAAAAAAATAGAATGCTACTGTAAAATATATTTAGCCTACATAATCAAAAACATCTGTCACCTTGGTCTGTCTTCTTTTCCCTTTCCACAGAACTGACCTGACCTTGTCCTGAAGACGCATCGAATCTTCCGCAGCACTCATATCGTCTTCCTGGTGAATGAAAAATCGATGCAGTACTTTTGCCGCATCCAATGCCTGCTGAGGGGTCGGAGCTGGTTCTGGCACTGCTTCCACTTCAGAGTCACTGTTTTCTTCTTCTTCTTCTACACGAACTGCTTGCAGGATGTCCTCGTCAGGAAGTCCATATGTTGTACCTACATTTTTATCAACTTCTTCAAAATCTGTTAGCTCTTCCGGTCCGTAGGTGATAGTAAGTTCAAACTGTCTGGCCCAAACATTTAATGGCAGGTCATCTTCATCATAAGTCAATCCTTGATCTTCAAGCCATCCTGCGTGTTTGAAGGAATGTTGTATTGTATTGCTCGTCACCTCGTCCAGGATTTACTAATCATTAGGATGGCGTCAAGAATGTTTAGTTTAAGATCGCCATTATTCTCAACCAATTCCATCCAAAGTCTTCTCTTGTATTGATTTTTCAAACTCTTCATGACACTTTGGTCCATGGGCTGAAGGACTCTCGTTGTGTTTGCTGGCAGAAAACAGAGTTCGATGTTTGCCTTATATGTCACCGGTAGATTTTTTATGTTTTTAAAGCAACGCGGGTTTTTCGACTTTCCTATCACTAACAATTTTCGCTTCACCGAACCTGTCATGTTAGCGGCTACTAAAACTGTAATGAGTTCCTTATAGAGCTTTCCACCAACGCACTTTTCCAATTTAAATTTTAAAGTTCTATTGGGTGTTTTCAGTGTTTCAGGCCACACGTTTTCTAGCCAATGATCCGTTACGTTTTTGTTAACATCGCGAGCCTCTCCGCTGATTTGCCCGTAGTTAATATTGTGCCGCATCTTCCACTTGCTCAGCCAACCCTCAGATGCCTTAAAATTCTCAATTCCAAGTTCAGTTGCAAAAAATTTAGCTTTTGTCCTGACCGCAGGCCCAGAAAGTGGAATATGGTTCATACGCTGCTGCTGGAACCACTGAAGCATAGCGCGATCTAAATTTTCGTGCTGAGGTTTCCGCAACTTCTTCCTGCTACACACACACACTTGGCACACACTTAGACACAACTCAAACTGGAATTGAAAAGTCGTCAATAGATGACAACATCTGTGTGATAACAGTTAGTTCCGCCGTGCGAACAATAAACGTGAGTCACTTAACCCTCTGATAAGAAAGAGTATAGGCCACATTCCTTAAGCGCAAAACAAAACAACCGCTGGACAATGACCTTTTCATTCGTGACTCAGGTAGTCTGAACTTTAAACACAATAACACATCTGATTTGTCATCAACTATTGAACGCTAAAAAGTTATCGCTATAAAGAGAGAACGATATCGGTATAGAGAAAGAATTAATACATTGTTCTTATGACGAACCAACCAACGTTTACTATTTTCATCGTTATAGAGGAATTATCGTTATATAGGGAATCGTTATAGAGAGAGACTACTGTATCTACATCAGTTGCTTTACTGTATTGAACACTTTATGGTAATTAATGAGGCATGTATAAATATTGCAATTTACATCTCTACATAGTTGAAATAGCACTTGTATGCTAAAGAGAGCCTCTCTATACATGGGGTACAGGTATACAAATGTTATGATTTTGAACTTTTTACTAATAGTTGTTTTTTCTAGTTCTTACCACTTCAGATTACAAAAAGGTTTCGATTAAAAACAAATGAAAACACAATACTTTTAATATATCACTTAGTACATTTTAACATTATATAAGTATCTTCATGTAGTAACTCAAAAGTTTTGCTGTAAATAGTCTAAAACGGCTACAAAAAGAAAGGAAGTACAATAAAATGGAATGAAACATCTATAAACAGTTAAGTGATTTTAGTCCCTATTAACTACATATTGCACCTGTCAACTATTGACGGTAGTTCTTGTGGACTTCTGGCTTGATGTCATAAACCAACTTTAAGATCTCTAGAATGACCTGGAAAAAAATAAATGGAAGTCAACACGAAAACCTACTTATTTTAATACTACAATCAAGTATATTCTATTCAATACCAAGATTAGAGAAAAACAAGTAGAATTTAAAACAAGATTATAGACTTAGTGGTAGCTAAAAACTCATGCGGATTATGTTTGAAGGACAGAAAAAATGCAAAATATTTGATCTGATAATAAATAAGAAAAACTGGTAAAGATTACAAGACCTAAGGGAGAATGTTTTAACAGCTTATTAGATCACGAGGTTATAAGTTAAAGAGTTCTTTGTTAAAGTTTTTTAACTAACTCCCCCTCACAGAAGAATGCACTGAACTATAACACAATAGACCTTCATGGTCAATGTACGGAGTGATAAGCTGTGTGCCCAAGTATAAGGAAAATTAAAAAAATATATTGCAGATGCCATATTATGATGTAGTAGTAGTTACATAATTAGTATAAGGACTTCCGAACTTTGACAGTTGATAACAGCCATATTATTAAACATACATGTCAAATTAGCTGACATTTATGTAGTCTGTACTGCCAAATCACCATTGATTGACATTGTGTACAACTGTTTGGGTAAATTCCACATATGGTTTGCCCATCTTATGGTCACCATCAAAATCTGCTAAAAACATCACTGCTGTCTGTGGTAGTGTGCACAAGAATCTGAGGTAGTCAATAACAGATAACAAGAACTTGGTCTTTCAGAGACAACTTTTCATGACAGGCGTCCACTTATACAAAATTTAACCAACTCAGTTAAATTTTGTGTGTGTTCATCATAAAATCATCTTCAGGTGACCATAAGAATGTCAAATCTCTAGCTGTTGATTCCATTTTGTGTCATACTGCATTTCGCCTCAGTGTTTAGTGACTTATAAACAGATTATTTATGCAGGATTCTTTTTAGCTTTATTATTAGTATATTCTCATATAAAGGAGCAAATGTTGGGTATATAAGGTATCTTATGAAAATGAGAAAAAATAGAAACCACATAATAAAGAATATTATATACACGGAATAGTTGAAAACAGATATGACATCCATAAATAAAAATTATATGCAGAAAAGATGCCCAAAGAAACAGGAATTGTAAAGAGAAAATAAATGAAAAGTAAACAATAGTTTTTTATGGCTATAATAGGATTTGAAACTACACTAACAGTTAGTGTGCATAGTAACATTTAAATAAGGTGTACTCCTAGTTTAACCACCTTGTTTTACTACTTTATCTTGTTCAAGATAATTGAAGATCTAGGAAGTTCATTTTTCATATCAAATACAGGGTATTGAATAAATATTTAAGAACCATAGGTAATGCTGAGGGTAAAAGGGGAGGGTAAATGTAAGCTGAAATTTGAAATATTTGTTATGTATGGCTTCTTACTCATTTTATAATTCTTATGAAAACATCTTATAGACAATTAATTGAGCTATTCAATATTAGATCACAAGACAACAAAAATCAATACAATAACCTTGACTACTCCCATTAAATCATGTGATCACAACAATTATTGTAAAAAATATAAGCTAATATCAAACTTACTGGTTCCTTTTGGTTCAGAATAGCTTTATTCATTTCTTCAATCCTCCTCTTGGTGTCTAGCTCAATTTTTGCTGCTACATCTTCTCTGGAGCCCATATGTTTAGCCTCAAATTCACGGAATTGACGTTCACGTTCTTTACGGTACTTTTCAATTTCATCTTGAGCTTCTTCCTTAGCCTGCTTTAGCCTCCTTGCTTTGCCTAAAGTAAACAAATAATGTTAAGTGGGGCCACAATAAAAATTAGTAAATAAAGTTAAGGTATGAATAATTTAGGGGCAATATATAAATCGATGTTAATTTCCTAACCAGTTTCTGTAAATAAATATCTAATTTCATCTTACTAATGAAAAAACTAATTTCATGTCTCGTGACTGTTACCACCCAAAATTCATGTTTTTTTAATACTATTCTACTTACGTTTTCGGGCCTCTGTAACTTTATCTGCTGCACGTTTCTCAGCTGTTAACAGTTGTTGAACACCTTGGCTTTGATGACTAGCCATCCTGTGGATTATTTAATAATATAATAAGTTTAAACACCAGCAAAGAATGATATGAACAGAGACTGATAATTGAAGACGAACCTCCAATCAGTCATATGATCAAAAGTCAATGTTCAACGGTACCAATATCATTCAAGTAAATTTCCCCATATTACAATAAAACCAGTGATATCACTGGAATAAAACCAGAAATTTAAGTATGAAAAATAAATATGGGACGTTATGTGTTTTTATTAAATTATATTGTTTTTATTAATTTTTTCATAAATAATATTAAATTATGAACGACTATAATTGCTTTGATTTAAAATTACAAAATTTTCAAACAATTTGAAAATCTAAACGGCCAGTTATATATTTTACAAAAACTTATTTGCATACTACAAGACATACTAAAGAATATCATAATTACATAGCAAAAATAAACAATCATTGTTTCCTATATTGTACTCATCCTAAACAATGTATAAAAGAGCTAATATTTAGTTTTATTTATCTTATTTTTATTTTATTTTTGTATAGATGATTGTTGAACAATTATGTTTATCACATTTTCCCCTTTTATACTATTTTCACGATCATATTTTATATAAATTACATTACATAGTTTTTTCAAATTACATTTCAACTGTATACAGCATTTTCGCTTTTTTATTTTTCAAAACTTTTCAATCTCTACGTACTCTTTTGATGCAGTTCTTATAAAATCTATAATAATAAATTGAAAAGTAATATTCAAAAAGTGGAACAAATATAATTATTATCTGGAAAATGACAGTATTTGGTAATTTTTTATTTGAACGGTTGGTATGCATGCTATTTTAATTTTTATTACAAAATTTAGAAACGTCAAAACTTGATACGTGTACAGGTTATAATGTTTAGAATATGTGTATTTCTCCCAAAATATTTATCTAGTCCTTCTTGTGAAACCATTTTAATTAAACAAACTATATGTGAAATTTAGTAGCAGTAATGGGCAAGGCTATAAGTAAAAATTTAGAGTTGTCAACAAACGAATATTGTGTTAGGTTTGTAGGAACAGAACCCATATCAAAAAATGATCCTTTTTGGAACAGATTTTTGGCTTATAACTTAATTCCTCCAACGTCATTGTAAGTATAGTGTAATTAAAAGAATTTAAATTTTATTGATATAGCTTTCTTTTCGATATGTTTTATGTTGGTATATAAATAAATATTACTTAAATCTTTGTTGTATACTAATAAACAGTATTGAAAAGGGACCATTAGTATTAAAAATGAGATCAGGCGATGTTGATTGCAAATAATAATTAACACTAAAGTAGTCCATGAATTCTTATCTTTAATGACTTGGAAAAATATGAATTTAATTAAAATTATTTAATAAATATGATTTCATTTATATAAATGTTTAACACCTTTTTTAAGTGCTCTCGCATTTCATGGGATCATAGGGTCGCATGAAGCCACTCTGATCTCACCAGCCTATGGTAACTTTTTATTTGTGTGTATTGTGACACTCAAGGTGTTAAATTACTCATTTTAAATTGATATTTTTCTAGTATCCATTGTGTGTTTTCAAATTTTCAGTGTGTCTTAGTTCTATATCTAAACTATGATCATGACGAAGATTAAAGTACATAGATCTAATCTAATCAATACAATTATGATAGTGATGATATTTATTTAATGCATATAGTTACAAATACAAAAAAACATTATTGTAAGTTATTAAAAGAAAGAATTTTGTATGAGTACCAAAGTATGACCATTTATGATCTTTAACAAGGTCAGAACTGCAATAGAATGTCAAAATGCAAGCTCTAATATAGGTAACTATAATCTCACTAGTAGTACAACTGAATATGATAATATGGACTGCATACACTGTAGAAACAAGGATAGAGATAATGCAGAAGTACAAAATTCAAATTTAGAAACTAGATGGCAAGACATGGACCAAAAATACTCAAGAAAATAATAAAAATATTTTAGTTTTTATTTCTAAGTTATATTCTGAATGTTTTCAATAGTATGGAGATGAACAGTAGACAATACACTTCCTTATGATTTAAAAAGAGCAAAGAACCTAGAAATCATTCACATTTTGTTGATGATGTCACATTGGAATCTGTTTCTCATTTTGAAGGATATTATAATAACTTTTGATAACAATCTTAACTCATCATTCCACACATTACTGGGACAATATCAAAGTCTCTTCAGATGGATGAAGGGGTGCTCTAGAAATTTTAAAAGTATGCTTTCATTTTATCTGCTTCATCTTACACTTATATGGCTATATTGTGATTACATTTCTTTTGTTTGGTTCAGCAAATCAACATATAAAGTCCAGAAACTCTCTTTAAACTAGGAACCAAAGTATTTTTCATTCAAAAAGTCCTTGCTCCTTAATAAAATAAGTGTTAAAGTTCAAATAAGATAGGCAGTTTCCTTTTATAATATAAATTCATAATAAATCAGATAAATTTTCATAATTTATTTATAGCAAAAAATGTTAGTCTAATCCTAATATGACTATGATTTAGACAGTTTTGTGAGATGTACAAACTTTGAAAAAAACATTAAAAACTTTTATAATTTCCCCATTCCTGTTAGTTAATTGGAGTTCTTGTTATATATATATAAAAAAATAAGTAATTTAATAAATAAATAATAAACAAACAAATAATATAATAAAAATAATAATGACAGTAATAATACTTTTGTCTCTTCTCTTCATTCATTCTTCTTTATACCTATTATTCTTTCTACCACTGAAGTCTTCCTTATTATCAATATGTTCCTGACAGAATGCTTGAAAATGATAGCTACAAGCTATACTGGGACCACGCTGTGCTCACAGACCAACCAGTGGCACATAATAGACCAGATCTCATACTAGTTAATAAACTTACTAGGCAAACAACACTGATTGATGTGGCGATACCTAACACCAATAATTTGTTTGTTAAATACAACGAAAATATTGCCAAGTACAGTAATCTAGAAATACAAATTATTAGACAATGGAGAATGGAAAGTACCCAGACAGTACCTATTATTCTATCTACTACTTATTCCCAAAAACTTCTTAGAGAACATGAAACAGCTAGGTCTAAATGAATATCTCTATAAGGCCATGTAAAAAGCTGCACTCCTAGTAAGGTCCAGATGTGTATGAAAATTTTTAGGAGATACTCCAGCATACAAGTCAACTAGTGCTCAATAACACTGAAAGAGTCCCACCAGAGCTCAATCATTTTGATACCCTAGGTATCTGGGATGAGTGAATGTTTCCCTTAGAGGGAGTTTGAGCCATATGGCTAAATCAGAGAACATTCTTTTATCATTTTTTATGTTTTAAATAATGACTTCTAAAAAATTATGCAGTTATTGATCAAACTGCATATTGATTTGCTTCTCACTTATACTATAATATTCTACTGAAAGGATCTTATTAAAAGAAATATACTAATTTGTTTTATAACATACTTTTTTACTCATTAGTGTTCAAATTTTAGAAATGACCAGTTGTCTTTAGAAACAAGAATTGAACCTCTTCTGCAAGCTCTAGTCAAGAACAATCCAACCTCTGGGAATTTTAGTACCCTTATCCAAATATTTCTAGAAAGGTCAACTGAATTATTATCATCTACATCAACACAAGCGTAAGTAATATATTTAGAGATAATTTATATTGTTATGTACCACATTGCATACAGGGTGGTTCATTTAGAGTGTACATAAGATAAATATTTGAAAATAATATAAATCTACATAACTGCTGCTGATTTACATATCTAAAATACTTAAGGCTTGCTCCTACTCTCTGTAAAACCGGAAGTCATATTGTTATTTTGAATGGATCTCTGTTTATTATTGTATTATTAGATTATGAGTAGAATTTTTGATACATTTTCTATAAAATATCATATATCAATAATTTTGACAGATTCACAAAACATTTGAACATTAATATGTAGTTGCAAAGATAATATCTTGCAAACATAAAAACAGAGAGTAAGTAAGAATGTCACTTTTTTCTTATTTCAAACCTCATTAAATCAATAATTGTGAATTTAATTTTTTTTTATAGAAAGAAATTAATTGTTTTTCAAAATGGCATTGTTTTATTTATTGTCAAACTCAGAAATAAACAATTGTCCAAAATTAGTTAACTTACGATTCATTTAAATGCAAAATTTCTAAAAACTGACTTTTGAAGCATCTCTGTATTATATGGAGATTGACAAAAGACATATTCTGGAAGCTATTTAAGTATCATCTACATGATTTGAAAGAATATATCCATACTATAGCGTGTTTTAAAAAACCAGCGGTTCTAATTTACGTAAATATATTTATTTATAAGCTTACAGTATGATAATATCTTATCAACTAAACTTAACTCATAACAGCGCTTCTTGTATATACCTTAAGTATTATTCGAGAATCATGTGGAGTGGTTCATCTCTATTCTCCTCGTCAGTAGCATTACAAAGGCAAATGCTATTGAGAATGCCGACAATTATATGTTCTAGATTCATCTTCTGAGAATTGTGACACATACCATGTGTTAGAGATATGCTATTTTATTACAATACTTTAAAGCCAGTGTTTTGTGAGTTTCTCTTTTGCTGTAGCAAGAAGATGAAGTTTAAAACCTCAGGGGTTCAAGACTCAATTTTCAAAAAACTGTTTTTTTAATAAATATGATACTTCTGAGAATCCTCACGTTATTGTACAAACAAGAAAGTAATATTCCAGGTCTTTAATGTATAACTGTGCTACTAAAGGAAGATAATGCATAATTTTGCATTGCATGGTTTTTACTAAAACAAATCTTTAAATGGAGGAATTTGTTTTTAACTTCCTGAATGAGGAAGTAATTCATTAGACCTAGATGAAATCACATTAGAAAATCTACCTTTACCAGAAATATGAGGTATTTGTATTAGCACTATGGACTGTCATGGGAAAAATATTCTAAATAGTCTAATTCCAACACAAACAAGGAAAATTTTTGACCTACGTACATAAATTTACACTAGATTATTGTTCGATAATATGACTAATTTAAAACACTATATCTGAGAACGAACTCAGCATTGCACTGCTCGAAATTTATATTCAGTGTTAATGGAGAGATCCAATGAATTCTGTTTATCACTTACCAGTATAAATTGCCAAGGGCAGTCCTCAGATTACATTTGATGTGGGTTGTAACAGACCTGGGTCGTAATAATTCTGAGAACCAGTCTCACGGGTCAGTATAAAGATCTGGATCAGTCATCAAGTTTTCTATAGATAAACCTAACCATGTTAATTTTTTATATGGGGTTTACAAAAACATATCTTTTGATACAGTTACAATAAAAGACTTTATGGCATCCAAATAGAGCAAAAGCATTATTAAGTTTGACAGTTTACCAAATGTTCATGTTTATAAAATAATGTTAATGTTTTTGGGGTTTAAATAAGCAGTAATGCAGGTAATAAATTACAAAAAAAATGTATAAATTTGTTGTACCTAATAAATTTTGTGTGTAAATGAACCATAACTTATACAATTCTTCAATAAATTTATTACTATATGCCAGTATTTTTCAACCTTTTTCAAAAATAAAACTTAAACTGTGGATGCAAGCCCTTATCTCTTGCTGTACTGCTTCACCATAGGCCGATCAGACACCAGCATATTCTAGTTTAAGCCGCAGATTCATTTAGAATTTTAAACTGCTGCGTTAGCCTTTTTGTTTTCTGTACACTGAGCTGGGGATTGAACTCACATCCGCTGAACCACTTGCAGTGAAGCGAATGAGAAATCGGCCGCCCAGCCCGCCTGGCTATCTGACTGACTAAAAATCCTTTATAAAAGGTATATAATTAAAATTAATATTTATTTATATTAATTATATATATATATATATATATATATATATATATATATATATATATATATATATATATATATATATATATATATATATGTTTTAGAAAGGATTTTTAAATAAATTTTTTACCCCGGATATGTTATATAGAAAAAAAAAACATAAATATTTGTTTTAGAAATCTCTTTAACTGGCAACTGTACAACATTTTGTTCCTGATAAGATGCGTACTAAAATTTTTCACAGAAATTCTAAGGGAAGACGAACTAATGAAGCATATAGAATTCAAGGGCAGTGGAAACACAATGGAAGCATTCATAGGTGCTTTAGTTGGTATAATAGTTGATGTACCTATAGAGGATTCCACATATCTAATACACTTAGAGTCTGCAACTTGTCTTTTAATTTGTCTTTCTATTCAGTATCATTCCGGTAAGTGAATTATAATACATTTTGAGATTTTTAATAGGTTGATACAAAAATAACCCTTTGTTTCAGTTTTCCTTTTAGGATGCATAATAAATTTATAGAGTGATTGATTAGTGTGAGAAAGCTCAGTAAATTTGTTATAGTAAAAGATATAAAAAAAGTTATTTACAAAAATTGCAGAGAAATGCAGAGTTTCTTTCTTTAATTTTATATTGTTAGATTTTAATTTACATAATTTTTCTTTATTACTGTCGTTAATTTTATTTACATACGCTCTTATTAACACATTAAAATATTTATTTATATAAGTCTTGTAACTATTTGTTCATATGCTGTTGCGTTAGATGTTCATGATTATCAGAAAGAGTAGACTTATCCGAATCTTCATAGGCTTCATACATAGACTACACAGGCTTCATGATTGTCCGAATGAGTAGGATTATCCTATGTTCGAGAGACCCTGTAATAATTTCAATTTGAGAATCATCAATGTCTCGAGAAACTTCACTAAGTAGAGGTGTTTCAATTATTATTGGTATATCATTAATATCAATAGTAGCAGTGCCTTCTGACTCATTAAGGAAGTCGTGAGTCACAACTAAACACAAAAACAAAATAAAAATAGGTAAATAGGGTGATCAATTGATTCTTATAAGTCATATGTTCTTACCTTGTTCCAAAACATGTTCATCACATATTGGGAGTTCTAAATGAGTTCAACGGAGTACTAAATACTAACAATATTGAAATTGTAATCTGTTACCACATTGGGTTTCAGTTTAGTTTGTTGATTACAAGATACATCGACCATTTCATTGCCGTGTTTAGTAGAAAGCATGTAAATATTTCTGTTGTCTTTCCAGTTCGTAATGGTCACTCCATCAAAAGTTCCTATCAGGTGTGTATCGACGGACATTTTCTTTGCTATCGGTAAACTTGTATACCAATTGTCGGTTATCAGCGTTCTTCCTTGATGTACTAAAGCCTCCATAAGATACAGTACAACGTTTTCTGGAATGACGTTAGAACTATTTTCGTTCCCTGCATATACTTTGAAATTGTAGGTATATCCAGATCCAGAACATACTTTAAAAATGTTTGCACCATATTTGTGTGCTCTTGACTTAGTGTACTGTTTAAAGCGTCCCCTAAAGGGTAATAGGGTTTCATTGATGCAGCCATATTCTTCAGCAACATATAAAGACTTAAAATTTGCAGTCAGAATGTCGACAAGTGGCTTTAACTTATACAGTTTATCACTTGTATCTGCCAATAAATTATCATTAAAGTGAAACATCCTTAACAGCATCTCGAATCGATTTCTAGACATTACATTCTTTGCAAAATTATTATGGAACAGGTTATCGTTACTCTAATAGTCTGCGATTTTCGGCATTTTCACTAAACCCATCCAGGCAACCAGTCCTAAAAATTTTCTAATTTCAATATTTATCGTTGGAATCCAGTCATGTAAGCGAGAGCTTGGTGTTGTGTCTGCAGCCAGTACAGATTGAGTTGCATATATATTTGTTTGGTTACAAATCAGACTAATTACTCTGTCATCGACCACAGCATAAAAAAAGTCTCCAGGCGTACCATTTGCCAACATTGCAGCTACTTCATCATTTACTCCTGACGGAATAGAAGAAGGTGCTATTAGCTTCTAATTACCTACTACTGGACCCCAATTTGGTTCTATATTCGGTACTGGATCTTCACTACGTTGTGGATCTAAGTTCGGTTCTGGATCGAGTATTGAATTTAAGTTCGGTCCTGGATTGATATTATCGTGAACATGACGAGTAGGTTGTGAATCTAATTTTATTCTTTTTTCTCTGTAAAATCTTTCGTACATTTTCCACCGTTTTTTCTGAATCTGACGAATCTGATTCTTCTTCTGAACTACACAGGTACTCACTATTAGAAGCTTCGAATGGTTCATCATCGTCATCGGAAAGTTCTCCAAAATTTATTGCAATCTTTTTCAATTCACGCTGTCAGAGGTTTAGAACGTTTAGACATCTAAAATTACCCAATATGTTGTAAAAATATTGTATTTTAAACATTATTTAATACTTACAGCAACTTATTCTTTCAATTTATTGAAATGAAAAGCAATCAACAAGAGCAATACACAACGCGTATTCGTTTATTTATGTTAGGTTATGTTTACTGCGATGGACCAACGGCACACAGAAGCATTAGTACGGTTCACTGGGCCACTTGTCCCGATGGGACCAACACATTTGTTATATGGTGGCTCATAGGCGCACTTAAAAAATGGAATGGTTGGCTCACGGAGGCATTGATTTAGAAAATATAGTCGCCAGCGAACGTGTTATGCATAAAAATGATAATTAAAATTTATTATTTAAATTCGCTATTACCTTTGAGCGAATGACTCTATGCTAGTCTGTACGCTAATACCTCGTTAGTCGCAAAACCGAAATATAATAGTGAGTTCGGTGTCATGTTTGGGTTAGGAGATTTTTAAAAAAGTCGGTTATGGGTTATTGCTATTCTACAGCAACAGCAACTATAAATATGGGTTATTGCATACTTTCAGCAATGGGAATACGAGCTATTAGAAAACCCGTTTAATAATATGTGTAATGAAGTATGGCTTACAAGGTTTTTTGTGCCAATCTGCAAAAAATCGCATTTTCCTCTTTTGTGGGTTACGAAATATTAGAACGACACAAACGAAATATAAAAGGAAATTTTTTTAGGGGTGTAAACTGGTCTGTGTTCATTTCTTGGACTAGCAACTATGTATGTGGAACCTGTAACTTTGTAATAATCAATTTGTTTTATTTTAGGTGGTAGATCAGACCAAAGTATCATTTATAGACTTATGATGAAAGGAAAACATGTAATACATGCTCCCATACTAGTCAAACGTCTGATGACCAATTTCATAGATCAGCAAAAAATGCCTCCAGGTTTTTCAGGATCTGATGGAAATAGTATGGTATTAAGTAAGTATATAGCATTAATACATATCGTCAATAACAAATGTTCTTTTTCTGCTTCCTCTTTATAAGTAATTCTGCTTGTTCATTGGCGGATTAACACCTCATTTTTTTCTATTTTGTGTTCATTCGTCTATACACTGTACGTTACATTTTTTTTCTAATGTCTTCACTTCTCTTTCGTTCTCTCAGCGTATTTCCTGCAATTCTTCTCAGTATCTCTGCTGTTTCAGTAGCCTTTGCGGTGTGGCTGTGTCATTATTGGTCTTATACTGGTTTTATAAATTCTTGACATCATATCAGTTTTAATGTGTCCGTTTTGCAATATAGTGTTATTAAGGCATCCTGCCAGTCTATTTGCTTTTTGTACTTGATCTCTCACTTCTTTGTCCAGATCTCCATAGCTAGACAGTATAATTTCCAGGTATATTATTTTCATTAGCACAGCTCATAGAAACATGCTTCGGAACAAGAATGATTTCATTACGACGACTAACGCGGGAAAGAGAACAACGAATTTATGGAAAACGAGAAATATAATTTGCATAAGTACTTGGAACGTAAAATCTCTAAACACAAGAGAGCAGGAAATTACAAAAGAGCTTCTAGAAAAAAATATAGACATATGTTCACTACAAGAGACGAACAAAAAGGAAAGGGTCAAATTATTCTAGGTGACTGACTACCTGATGATTTACATTAAACTGGATATCAAGCCTCTGAATGGGATAGCAATCTATGCACCAGAGAACAACAGAGATACCACCACAAACAAGGGAAAACTTCTACGAACACCTTCAGACTGTAATAAAGGAGACCCCAAATGATGAATATATAATCATTATGGGCGATTTTAATGCCGTGTTGGCAATGATATATTTCCAGGAATAAAACAGCAATATAACGAAAATATCAGAAATGAAAACAGAAACCTTCTGACGGACCTCTGCAGCATAAACGAGATAGGTATTAATAACACATTTTTCCCTCACAAAGAACAATACAAATACACTTTTGAAAACAGTAGAGGACAAAGATCTATGATAGACTATATTTTGTAGAATAGAGAGTTACAGCCCTCTCAAATCTTGGATGTAAGAGCACTAACATCAGCAGAAATAGGAAGCGATCATAAATTCTCCTTCTTCTTCTCGTGCCACTCCTAGCGGAGATTGGAAATCATCATGGCCACTGCGACTTTGTTAGCAGCGCGCCTAAAAAGTTCAATCGAACTACACCCGAACCATTCACGTAGATTACGAAGCCACGATATTTTTCTTCTTCCCACACTTCTTTTGCCCTGCATGATGTTTCTTAAAAGTTCGTACTTTTCACCTCTCACAATGTGCCCCAAGTATTCCATCTTTCTAGTTTTTATCTCATTTAGAATTTCGCATCTTTTGTCTAAAGTTTGGAGTACTTGCGTGTTAGTGACGCGGTCCATCCATGATATTCTGAGAATGCGCCTATAGCACCACATCTCGAAAGCTTCGATGTTTTTTATGGTCAACTGTTTTAGTGTCCAAGCCTCAACTCCATATAACAGGGTAGAAAAGACATAACACCGCAGCATTCGTATTCGTAACTTTATATTGATATCACGATTGCAAAAGAGTTTGCGCATTCTATTAAAGACTGATCTAGCGATTTCTATTCTACATCTAATCTGTTTTGTTTGATCAGTATCGTCTGTGATCCAAGCACCTAGATATTTATAACAGGGCACACGCTCAATCGTTGTATTGTTTATTACAAGATTAGCTCTGATGTTCTTTGATTCCGTGATTACCATAAATTTAGTTTTTTTCAAATTAATTTTCAAGCCGTAACTGTTACCGTATATAGTTAGACTTTGAACGAGATGTTGTAGTTCTACTAGCGTTCCCGTTAGGAGAACTGTATCGTCAGCATACCTTATATTGTTGATCGTCTCACCATTTATTATCAGACCAAGATCTTCTTCCTCGAGTGCTTGTTCACAGATAGCTTCACTATACAGATTAAATAAAAGTGGCGATAAGATACATCCCTGCCGGACTCCTCGACGGATTTGAATTTCTTCTGTTAGTCTGTCCTCAACCTTGACATTTGCTATTTGATTCCAATATAGATTGCATATAATTCGAATATCTCGGCTGTCTATATTTTTCTTTATTAGAACTTGTCTTAGTGGTTCATGTTGTACTTTGTCAAAGACCTTTTCGAAATCAATAAAGCAGGCGTAAATTTCTTGGTTCATGTCTAGGCATCTCTGTGAGAGAACGTTCATTGCAAACAGAGCCTCCCTTGTACCCAGCCCTTTTCTGAATCCCATCTGAGTGTTACTGATGTCTACGTCTAATTTCCTATAGATCCTTATTATGGATTATTTTTAAGAACAGTTTTAGAGCATGACTCATCAAAGCTATCGTACGATATTCGTTGCATTCCTTTGTATTTGCCTTTTTTGGCAGTAGTATAAAGGTCGAACGGAGCCATTCCCTAGGTATTATTCCAGTTCTATATATTGTGTTAAATAGATCTAGGAGTATTTTAATAGATTCATCGTCCATAAGTTTGAGCAGTTCTCGGGAATTTCATCAGGACCGGGGGCCTTACCACTTTTTGCTTGTTTGATTGCATATTATATTTCTTCTCTGATTATATCAGGCCCTGTATCATCTGTATATTCGTTTGAGATTTCTTGTCTATCTTTGTCATCAAACAGTTGTGATATGTATTCTGTCCATCGGTTCATTTTCATAATCATCCATCGGATCATAAATTGGCATTGTGCAAAATCCGAATGAAACACATATGTGATAATAAAACACCAGAATACACCACAAAGATAAAAGTCGAAAGCTTACAGGATGACTCCACAAAATACCTATTCCAAAAAAGAATAACCGAAAAAAGCAGAAACGTATATATCACAGAAATTAAGTCTAATGTCTTAACCTCGTCCAAGGAAGTTCTTGGTGAAAGAAATATAAATAAAAATAAATCGTTCCCAAGGCGAAGAACTCCATGGTTTTGTACAGAAGTGAAGAAAAAATGTAAAGAAAAGAAAAAAGCTTACCTGAAATACATATCGTCGATCTCATCTACGATCAAATTGAAGACCATGGGTCTTCTGCCTATTTATATAGGTTCTGTAAGTTGTCCATCTATTCTGACTTCCGTTTTGTTGATTTGGTAGATGTTTTCGATAGTTTTTATAATATTTAGGGGAACTTCTCTATTATACAGAAGATGGATTACATCTTTGAGTCTTACTCTGTCAAACGTTTTCTTTAGGTCAATCAGACACAGAAATGCTGGTCTAATATACTCTAGTGATTTCTCGGTAATTTACTTTATAACGAATATTACATTTGCACAAGATCTTTCACTACGAAAACCCTGTTGTTCATCTGCTAAACCTATCCTCCGATTTATTAATACTTTAGTTGTATGTAAAATTTTAGTTGTAAGTTTTAGCGTAGTATTTAACAAGTTTATACCGCTGCAGTTTTTTGGCTGTTTTTTTATCTCCTTTTTTGAATAGTAGAATTAGTTCGCTCGTTCTCCATTCTTCCGGTATTTTATTGTGTTTTATAATTTTATAAATTAATGTTGTTAATTGCTCTGTCATTGCTGCTCCACAATATTACAGTAATTTGTTTGGTATCCCGTCTTTATCTGTGTTTCAGGTTCTCAAGTATTTTCCGAACTTCCTGTACATTTATATTAAGTTCTTCATTTGTGGTAATTTCTGGTGTTTCTGGTTCTAGCGTCGTTTTTTCTTCCTCCACATATAGCTTTTTTAGGTAGTCAATCCACGTATCCTTTTCTATGTGTTTTGGTTTTATTAGTTCCTTTACCTCCGTGCTTTGACCTCGTTATGAAGCGCCATATTTCCTTTGGCCGACCGTAAAAATCATAGTTCCATTTCTTTCGAAAAGCGTTCCCAGTGATCATTTTTTATTTTTATTACAAGTGCATGTGTTTCGTGTCCAATTGTCTTGTAATTATGGTATGCCTCTTGTGTTTTGGTTCACATGTATTTCAGGTAGGCTTTTTTCTTTTCTTTACATTTTTCCTTCACTTCCGTACAAAGCCCTGGAGTTCTACGTCTTGGGAATAAAAAATGTTGGATATTGATATTAATGCAACTACTTCTATCGAATAACACGTCTTTGAAATTTTTATTATTTAGATAATACATTTATCTTATTTTATTTGCTATTTCTCTGTTTTTAGTGATAATCTCTATAGTTCTTATACAGACCAATTAAGTAAGTTTTTTACTCGACGGGTTTAAGAGTTAAAATGTGTAGTACGAGATATTACAAAAAGACTCATCTAGAGATTCTTCAACTGTTTAGAGGAAATATTTTGAAATAAACAATCAAAACGTCAAATCCCTAAACGTCTGTTTAGGGATTTGACAACAGACAACTTTTTCGGAAAAAATATACACAAAATGAGATATACTAAATTAAAATCAGTTAATAAACCATAAAGTTATTACAAAATAAACAACAAAATCGCTGTTAATTTGAATATTGTTAATGACTTTTATTATTTATTAAAATTTATCTGAACTTGAGCGTATAGTGTTTGAATTGTGTGCAAAAGTGGGTCAGATCGGTTGAATAGTTTTTGGGAAATTTAATTTGTTTATATAATTTTTTGAAAAATAAGCTTATTTCTAATAATTTAACTGAATGGATCGCAATAATTTGGGAATTATTTTCTTTGTTAACACCTACACTTCATCTAATTTATATAACGATGCACGTCATCGGCGTCATAGCCTGTGGCGTCACATGATACCAACACAAAATATTTAGGGTGTAGGTGTGTTCTTTTTTAGAACCACTTTAGCGAGTACACTGACATTACAGCCACTAGACATATTTTATTATATACGCGTAGAAATCATATTTAAAAATTTCTATTAATGTTAACTTGAAGAAATACACAATAATATGTTTCATTTAATTTGTATTAATGCATTATAAAGCGTTTTTATCAAGAACATTTGTTCGGAACACACTGTAACTGTAATCGAACGAAGGTAAAATTTTGGCATAAATTGGTAACACTAATTTGACAGTTGTGGTGTTGACACTTTTTGTACTTCATTATTTTGAATTTTAAAGTGAATATCTCTTGTTTTATATTTTTAACTATCTAATAAAATCTGTTCTTTTTAGAACAAAATTAGTGTGTTTTATTTCAAAAATGTCACGTAAGAATTTAAATAGTCGTTGTAAAGAGATGGTAATACTTTTGCAATAATTATGTAATCTATTTGATTTAAAATGGAGTCAGGATTTTTTTATACTTTGGCAACTATGTCAACTTCGATCTCTGACGTAGATAATGACGTAAGTCGTTATCTAAATTAAATGAAGTATAAGTGTTTACTAGCTTATCTGATAACCTCACTTTTTGCCTCTGTCCAATGTTTTATATCACTCATTTTATATTTTAAATTAAATTCCGATATTTGCCACACTACAAGACTAGCAAATCTTTTTTAAAATCCCGTTTAAATCATATAAGTTGAGGCTATTTTCGGTAAAATTAAAAGTAGAGTAGTTACCAAAAATACAACATTAGATGCGTTATATGACTCATTGTATATATCTTCCTTTTAGTTACAAAAATATTTACTTTCTGCACAATGTAATTTTTTAGTTTTATAATTTCACGCACATACAAACTTGCGAAATTATTTGATAAAACTTTATGATATATTATTTTATATGATTACCACGTTGCAATTGAATTATAATTATAAAGATAAAATTTAGTACTCAAACATTATAGGTTCCATAAAATCCGTAAATTTGTAATCTTAAATATTTATCTATTATTTTCTTTTAGATTTGGCTTCCAATATTTGGTCAGTATTGACTTTTAACAAAAAGTCCAACGAGGAAACTTCAGATTCAGACGAATATTCGTACCAAGAAGCTCCGCTAGCGACCCAAAGTTTACTTTTACTTTTAGTTTTAGTTCATCATTGGACAACACTGTCTAATCCTTACCGAAATAGTTTATTTACCTGTTTAGATAGTCAAGGTAGGTGGTATAATATTATAATATTAGGTATATATATATATTAAAGCTATAGCTGAGATTAATACTATTATAAAAATTAATATTAAACTCATCAGTCGTCCGGGTTGAACCGCGTTGATTTTCATTGCGCCGAGCTTTCGACATCCTCTCTGATGTCTTCTTCAGGGCTTTCGAAGTCTCAGTTTCCCGAGCCCCCAGACCGATTCTACTACACTGATCAATATTCACTTCACTACTATTTGAAGTTATCATGTCAAACTTATTACCAAATCGGGTGTAAGAATGCAGAATTTGCGTTATGTTACTTACTTCTGCTTTATTATGATATAAATCCACTTTTCTTGTTACATTAATTTGTGTTTAGAAGTCGGAAACCAATAGAATTTGAATTTACTATTTTTTGTTGTATTTTTTAATTTATAACACCTCATTTGCGAAGTCCTATTTTCTTCCAAAACAATACTAATGAAATGTGCTAAGAAAATTCCAATATTTTGCCTCTCTACACACACGATCGTTTCTCGTATCCCCTTCAAGTACTTGCACACAGCGAATAACACAAAACAACTTTGTATTCTTGGAATTAGGAAGTGAAGCGGATTTTAAATATAAAATAAAATATAGGGTGTTTCACTTAAAAAAAAAAAACATACAGTGCGTTAAGTTTTTGATTAGGTATTGCACACTATACGGAGCGCTAAAATCGGCAACGTTGCAAATGTTCGTTCTCCGACCCGAAAATCTACACCGACAGAAAATCATTTATTTTAGTTTAGTAACTCACACCAACGTTAGGGATGTACTTCTCTGTCGTCCGATCTCATGTTTCATTACGTAAAGCCGATTTTAATAGTAGGAAATTCGATAAAAATGCACTGAACTAATCGGTGCATTGTTATCGATTTTTATTAATGTGAAAATTTTTTTGTGGTTGAATTAAAAATAAAAGCGTATTTCTTTAAAAAGATAAAATAAAAAATATACTCTTATTGAAAATTAAAATATTGTTCCTAATAAAATAAAAAATAATTCTTTATGACCTACAGAAATGGTTCAAATAGTTGACCTTCTACGGCTTAACAGTACCCCAATCTGTCATAAAAACTTCTGCGAACAGATGAAAGAGTTTCTGCTGTAACAGAATTGGAGACTTCCCTTATTCGATTTTTTAATTCATCCAAATTTTGGGCTCTAGCCTCAGGATGAGCGCAGATAATGCTTTTTAAATGTCCCCTGGAGATCGCGCAGGCCACTTAATATCGCCTGTTCCACTGACTGATAACTCAATTCGGGAAAGTATTGTTTAAATACTCCCTAATAATTCGAGCGTTGTGAACTGAACAGCCGTCTTGATGAAACCAAACATTCTCCAGATTTACATCAGGAAGATTGAGAATAGCGGGAAGAACATGATTCTGTAACAAATCGAGGTATACTCTACTATTCAAGTTGCCCTCAATAAAAAATGGACCTATTATTTGGTCTCCTAAAATGCCAGTCCAGACGTTAACTTTTTGAGGACGTTGAGTTCGGTAAACAACACTTCTGTGCTGGTTTTCCCGCGCCCAATACCTCGTAATGGAAGGATTGTGTCTCCCTACTAACGAATCAGTGAATAAAATGTTTTTAATAAAATTTTTTTCACTATTAGCCTTCGTTATTAGATTTTCACAAAACTCCATTCTTCGAAAGTAATCGTCTGGATAAAGCTGCTGCGTTTTCGAATATTTAAAATTCTTGTAACCGTGCTTTTTCCATACTTTCGTTACAGTAACATTGCTAACATCTAACTCTCTAGCAACGCTTCTACTTGAACGTGTTGAATCTACCTCGATTGTTGCACAAATTTGTGTATCCCGGTATTCTCTTTCCTCAACTTTTTCTGGTAACACTTCTCGAGCGTGACATTTTCTGCAATTTTTGAGGCAATAACAACTCTCAAAATTTTTAACAATATTATAAATTGACTGTACACAAGGAATTGGTCTTCCCTCAAAAAACACAGAAAATAAATCTACACACTGTTGCGCAGAATTGCTACTATAAAACCATTTTATTATTTGAGCTTTTTCCGCGGCCATATAAACAGACATGTTTACAAAAATAAATTAAAACTCTACGCTGTTATACCTTTAAACAAGCACGGTATAATGACAATATGACAAATTTGCCGACCGGCGACGTGCAACGACGAGTCAACGAAGCAGATATGTAGTGCAAGTCGAAGACGCGCAGTGTTGCCATTTATAGAGTGTATACCTAATCCAAAACTTAACGCACTGTATCTTTGATGTGGTACAGTGTTAAGGAAGACCTTGTACATAATGTGAGCCTTAAGCTACCTCCTATTTTTGCAAACAACTTTTTCTCCTATAATTACCTATATAACGGACTTTGTCACACAAGTTGATCTCCCTGCAGATATCTGATAGGTATCCATATCTAGATATTTTACATGTGTATGAAGTAAGCAAACAATTTTTAACAACACATAAATTAATCATATTAAATTATTTTAGATACGAATCCTGTACCACCATCCAACGTATCGTCCTTGTTTAAAATAGATTTTAATTTGTTGTACTTAGCTCTTTGTAAGAAAGCCGCGGGAGATGCGGCTACATTGTTACTATATTTATTATTGCATCGCAATCATTCATTCAAATCTTATATTCTTGTAAGGAGTGATCTGGATCTTCTGGTAAGTAGAAACTATTACACTGTTTTTGTTCGAAGTTAAATTAAACTTTCCATTTTTGTATTTATCCGTATTGAATTTACTATAATAGAGTTCGGCATGCCAGCGTATATTTGCTTCATTGATTTGACGAAGGCATTTGACAGAGTTCGCCTGGGAGACATTCTAAATATATTAATAAAAAATGAAACCCCGACCAGTATAACAAAGATACTCCATAACCTAAATAACAATAACGTAACCAAAGTTAGAGCAGGAGACGAATTCACTGAAAATATTCCAACACCGGGAGGAATTAGACAAGGCGACAGTTTAAGCCCCTTCTTGTTTAATCTTCTCATGGGCAAAATTATCAACAAAGTAACATCTCTTAATCTCGGATATAGAATGGGCAACAAAAGAATTGGTATGGTGTGTTACGCAGACGATGCAGCAATTATTGCCGAATCAGAAGATGATCTTCAAAGGCAGCTCTTTCAGTTCTTTCAAACAAGCCGACTACTAAATATGAACATCTCTACCAACAAAACTAAATGTATGACAATAGCAAAAGATCCGCTAAGATGTAAGTTAGTGGTTGAGTACAACCCCATAGAACAGGTGATGCAATTCAGATATCTGGGCATATATATATCAAGCACCCACGACCCAGTAAAGGACCTGAGGAGTCAGATCAACAAAGCATCTGCACTGTCAGGATGTCTGCGGGAGATAGTCTGGTCAAATCCGTATATGCGCACAGATAGTAAAATTAGAATCTATAAGACTTGCATACGACCGATCATGACATATGGCATAGAAGTGCGCGAAGATACCAACAAAACGAAACAGATGCTAAGGGTTGCCGAAATGAAAACCCTAAGAACAATAATGGGGAAAACAAGAAGAGACAGAGTGAGAAATACAAACATTAGAGAGCAGTGCAAAATTCAAGATATTGAATCGCCCGGTTCAAGACCCCCCGGAATACCACCTAAAAGATGGAGGGATAGTTGGCAATCTACCTCCCAAGAAATTAACCAGAGGCAGGTTCAGAATTAAACAGATCGAAAGATCTACAAAACGTAGTAGAAGAAGAAGAATTTACTATAATTTGAGTTTGTTTGACCTATAATGTATCAATCCATTTCTGACGAAAAGTGGAAATAACCGCCGTGTCCGAGGATCTTAGAAAAATGGAACACGAGCAATATCGATCGGTGATTTGATTCTTGGTTTTGGAGGCTGTGTACGGCGACTCTTCTACTTCGATGGCAACTCTCAAAAATTGGTTTAACGAGTTTCAACGGCGTAGCACATCGAATTTTGATGAGTCACGCCCAGGTAACCCGAAAACGTTAGCAAATCCACGCTATTATATTGGCAGGCCAGCGGCTGAAGGTACGCAAGATAGCTGACACAATAGGAATCTCAAAAGACCGTATAGACCACGTCTGCATGAAATTTTGGGCATAAGAAATCTGTCGGCTCGATGTGTGCCGCGTTTGCTCTCTCTAGACAATAAGCGCAACCGTGAGACCACTTCAGAGCAGTGGTTGACGCTATTTAAGCGCAATCCGAAGGAGTTTTGCATCGTTTCGTGAAAGTCAAGAATTATTGGGCCGATTCGACACCGAATTACTTGAAAAACAGACCTATTTGATGAAGAAAAAGTGCTCGTCTACCATGTCAATGCAGCAGCTTACACCTCCGCCGTCGCCACGACCAAACTGATCGAATTGGGCTACAAACTGCTGCTCCACCCACCGCATTCTCCAGATTTGCCCCTGTGCGACTTCTTTTTGTTTTTCAAACATGAAAGAGTCACTCGCCGGGCAGACATTTGAGTCGAGTGAGGAAGTAATCGCAGCCACGGTGGTCTAATTTGCAAATATCGGGAAAACGTGTTTTTCAGACGGGTTAAAGATATTGGAGCATCGCTGGGCCTAGTGTATCGAGCTAAAAGGAAAATATGTTGAGAAATAAATCGTCACTTTTCCAAACTTTTAGTTTTTTTCTTCTGTAGGCTAACTATATTGTTTACAAAAGTAAAATCCCACAAGAACATATCTTTAGAACAATATTAATTACCATAGAAAAGATTTTCTGTATTAGTTAGTCTATTTTATTTATTTTTCAGATCGTTCCAATACTGAAAAGCTTATACAACGCACCAAATAGTAATTCCCATCATATTTATATGTCATTAATAATCCTACTTATTTTAAGCGAAGACGATAGCTTTAATGAAATCATTCATGACCTGGTAAGTTGATAAGAAAATTATTGATAGCAAAACATATCAGTTGTTTATATCAGTGTGGTCCAACCTTTTATACGTTGCGGGCCGTATTAAATTTGAAATTGTTATGAAGGGCCAGAGAACTTCACTCGTTCAAAAAAAGTTTATTTTAAAAAATAATATACAAACGAAATATTAACATAACATAACATAACAATATCTTTATTTTTAGAAAATACTATACATTCCGTGAACATAAAATTATTAAAAAAAAACAGTGTCACAAACGAAAATATTATTTACTTATTTCTAACCGTTACATATACAAATAGTCCTCCACAGAATATGACTCAAGAGCTACCAGTAATTTAAATATTTGATGTTTATACAAACTTAATCTTTCCTCCCTTTTAATAGGTTTAGGCAGTTTATTAAACAATTTGATGCAGCAATAAAGAGCGTTTTTTTCTGTTATACTTAACCTGTGTATTGGAATTTTATAATTATATAACCTGGTATTTACTATACTATTGGGCTCAAAGTTCCTAAAGAGTATTTTATTTTTATATAGAAACAGTAAGCATTCTTGAATAAATACAGCGTAAACTGTTAAAATATTATTACTCCTAAAATGCCCTCTACATGATTCCCTACTTTTTAAGTCAAACATAACTCTGATTATTTTTTTCTGAACCAGAAATACATTATTTTTGTCCCTACTGTGGCCAAAATTATTAGACCATATCTAAATTTTGCTTCAAAATTAGCATGATACACTGTTTTTAATGAGTTACTATTCATGTATTTTTTTAGAACTCTAAAGCTGTAAATCACTTTACTCAAAGACATACATAACTGGTCAACATGTTTATCCCAACATAAAAAGCTGTCAATATATAATCCTAAAAATTTGGTACTGCTGCTAATATTTAAAGTGTCATTATTTACAATAATACTGTTTGGCATATCTGAATGTGTATAATTTGTCTTAAACAAAAGAAGATCTGTTTTATTTTGATTTAAAACCAACCTATTCATAGAAAACCAGTCTTTAGCTTTCTGGAACTCTAAACTAGCATTAACGCTTAGAACAGACATGTCTTTACCACTGACTAAAATGTTTGTATCATCTGCATAATTTGTTACGCTGGAAGTAGTATTAGCCACTAGACCATGAAGATCATTGATATAGATCACAAACAGTAAAGGACCAATCACACTTCCTTGTCGTACCCCAATATTGATAGTGCTTTCAGATGAGATGCCTATTTCAGTGTTTTTATGTATTTTTACTAAATGTCTCCTATTTGCCAAGTAGGACTTAAACCAGTTCAATGCTGGTCCACGTATACCATATTTCTCCAATTTATCAAATATGTCATGCACTAAACAGTCATATGCCTTTGATAGGTCCAAAAAGAGACCCAAAGCCATATGACCAATCTCAGTACATTTCAAAATATCCCAGACAAATTGAAAAATCGCAGTCTGAGTTGATTTTCCCTGTTGATAACCATGCTGATTTGCACTAATAATATGACATTTTGTTAAAAATTCTGTTATCCGCCTATACATAGTCATTTCTAAGATTTTTGAAAAGGAACATTGAACTGAATTTATGTTACTTGCAATGTTGTCTTTATATTCAGTGTATTGTAATTGAGATAAAGTGTTATTTAAAGAAGTATTTAAGTGGATCATGTATTTATCAGCAATCTCTTGAGGACTACCCTCTACTTTTATTGAATTTACACTTTTTAATTGACCATTAATTTCACTAACAATTTGCCACATGCATTTATTTTTGTCGGCAGCTTCAGACATCCTGTTTTCATATAGCTTTGATCGTTTTGTTATTAGTTTCTTATTATTTACAAGTATTTTATTATGGTTTACAATTTACATGTTATGTTTAAAATTTCACATAAAATAAAAAATCAATGGAATATTTGAGTCAAGGGTTTATCCTCTACTAACTTTTGCACATCTATATCTATTCTAGTCCTAGTGAGTCTAATACACGCTTCCAAAGAATCGTTTACCATGTGATTACGTGTTTCAGATTTAATATGCTTCAAAGCAGAAAATGTACTTTCACATATATACGTACTACCAAACATTGAATATAGTTTCAACGTAAAGTTTTAGGAAAAATATCCTTGGAGACTAACTTCCAAAAGTACTAATGTCTTCATTGTTCTTTGCTTGAAAAACGAGTCGAACTGTAGTTCGCACCGCTCTAATTGGCATTCTGCTGATTGGTTCTGGATGTTGACTCCCTTTGGATTGTTAAAAAGCTCAAGATCGGGTTTTAGTGCATCTAATTCCGAAAACCTTTAATCGAATTTTCTTTTTATTTCTGTAAGAACTTTTGCAAACCTCGAGAAATCGACCATGGGTTCTTCTTGATTTATTTCGAAACACGCAGGAAAATGTGTGAGGTCGTTTATTTTCATGCAGTTTTTGAAGAGATCAAGTTTTTGTGAAATGTCTCAATTTGTTCAACCAACTGTGATACTGTCTTATTTTTCCCCTGTAGTTGTAGGTTTAATGTCTTCAAGTGAGAGGTAATGTCTATTAGAAATGCCAGTTCATGAAGAAATGTTTCGTCTTAAGGTTTGTTAGAAATATGTCCGTGTTAATAACAATTTCCGTTTCAAAAAACAGTAAGATCTCTTTTCTTAAAGAAAAAAATTTGTAAGGCATTTACCTGCACTCAATCAGCGCACCTCTGAATGTAGGGGTACGTCCTTATATTCAGTATTTAATTCCTCCAAGAAAGAGACGAATTTTCGGTGAGCTGAGCTCTGTTTCCTCCTCTTAAGCTGTTTACTATCTGTACTACAGTTTTCATAGTATAGTTGATTTTAATTCTCTTTCTGCAGAGAGCCTCTTGATGGATAATGCAATGAAACCTAACATAGTTAACACCATTTCCTGCAAAAGTCCAACCAATCCCGTCATTGCTTTTGCTCCGTCGATGCAAACACAAATGCACTTTTGAAAACCGCCTATATTTTTCACAGCGACACTAACTACTTCAAATATATTTATACCTATGGTCCCGTTTTGCATGTGGTGCAGTTTTAGAAGTTCCTCAGTTACACAAATATCTTCACTGATACATCTAACAAAAATTAATAGCTGATTTTTGTCAGTAATATTGTAGCGTTATAACTGCTACATTGCCTGCTTTCTTCCTTATGTTAATATATTTCGTTAATTATATTCTCCAATTTCCATATCTTCTGTCATAATTCATATTCTTCTATATCCTCCATTGTATCTCTTATTTTTCTATATATTTTCTAGGATATAGATTGTATCAGAATTATGTCGTTACTTAATTGATTCATTATTCTCTTTTCATTTTTACTGGTATTTGGTATAAAAACCAGTTGGCGTCCAAATCTATCTCCTTTATATATATCTACAGTATTTCAATATCTACCTCTCCTATTTTCTTAATAATCATCATTTTTACCTTTTACTCAAGTTCTAAAGAGTAAATTTTATTTTCATCTCTATTTCTGTTACTTTGGAACGAGAGGTGCCATCTTTGAGCAGCTCAACGTTGGGATGTTACAAATTGAGCCTCGAAGGGTTACAAATTGGCACCCAATGAATATTTGTTGGCACGTCATAGATTGACGTCCAATGAATGTTCGTTGGAACGTTACAAATTGGCGCCCAACGTTCCAACGAACATTCATTGGACGTCAATCTATGACGCGCCAACAAATATTCATTGGGTGCCAATTTGTAACCCTTCGAGGCTCAATTTGTAACATCCCAACGTTGAGCTGCTGTTGTCAACCTGTAACCGAACCGCAAACCTTAGTTTGCTGCTACAACCCGACTAACATCACTAACAACGTTGGAGTGACAAATCGTTTCCCGTTGGGACCAATTTTTAACGTCATAACCCCTAATGTATCAATTACAAAATTGCTACATTAGACGTTATACGAAACACTCCCTGGCTAGCTCACTCAGGACGTGAATATGGCCTACTCTATAGCAACACACACAAACAAGTAAAAAGAAGAAACAATACACAGTTAAATTAACACATGTTTATTAAAATATAAAAAAAAAACAGAAAAATAAATGTTAAGTATCGTATTGAATTTAAATAAAAATTATTCGACTTCTTGCTACAGTGTTACATTAGGTATATGAAAGAACAATGTTTGTCACCAAATCCTAAGTTTTATCCTGGTCTTTTCTGCTCTGGTTGTTAGCAAGCCATGTTGTTAGTTTTGGATTTTCTTGTCCCGGAGTCAACTCTCCTATTGGAATGATGGTTCCATTCTCAGGCCGGTTGGTCTTCTGGATGTTAATAGAATTTGACCCGCACTTGAGAAATGTATCCCGGAGGTTGACTAAAATGAAGAAAAACACACCTTGCTTTAGAAAATGGTGAAACCAAAATGAGAGACCTTGCTTGGGGGATGAATAAGGTGACCAATCAAATTTAACAAAATTTTATCATTATCACCCAAGCAAGTCGAGAAACAATTCTTATTTATGTACTTATCATAGGCAAATAAGTAAAAGTAAGGATATATATATATATATATATATATATATATATATATATATATATATATATATATATATATATATATATATATACTTTAATGCAAATGGTAATTACTTTTTTAAAACTGAAATATTCTAATATTAATTAAAAAAAAATGACAAGATATGTTTATTGAAAAGCTAGATAATTTAGAAACATTGCTATATAGAAATGGTAGTTTGTCAAAAGTTAATTATTATTAAAATAAAAAGATATTATGGATTTAAAATTCATATTTAAAACTATAAAAATATTCGTAAAACTGTTATATACTATATTAAAGAAACTATATATTTTTTATCGCTAGTTTTTTATATAAAATAAAAAAACATAAGAAATCCACAAAATATGTACCTACTTACATGTCATTCATAAATAATGAGCTTAGAATTTTTAAAGTTGAAATTATAAAAAGATTTTTATACAACAGGTGGAATTAGGAAATCGATAAAATATATTATACACTTACCTCCAAATCTGGAGACGACACAACAATTGGTTATTATACTTTTACAGAAGTCATGAAGAAAATCGACATTTTAAGAAAATAGAAGTCTTTATATCGACTTTTGTATCGAACGGGAAGGGAGAAATGTCAACAGCATTGAACTAAACAGAGAATAAAGATGGCACCTCTCGTTCCAAAGTAACAGAAATAGAGATGAGAATAAAATTTACTCTTTAGAACTTGAGTAAAAGATAAAAATGATGATTATTAAGAAAATAGGAGAGGTAGATATTGAAATATTGTAGATATATATAAAGGAGATAGATTTGGACGCCAACTGGTTTTTATACCAAATACCAGTAAAAATGAAAAGAGAATAATGAATCAATTAAGTAACGACATAATTCTGATACAATCTATATCCTAGAAAATATATAGAAAAATAAGAGATACAATGGAGGATATAGAAGAATATGAATTATGACAGAAGATATGGAAATTGGAGAATATAATTAACGAAATATATTAACATAAGGAAGAAAGCAGGCAATGTAGCAGTTATAACGCTACAATATCAACAGATTCGTCCAGGGCTAAGGAGTAGTACAAACAATCACGAACTCTGTCGACTATTTTTTTTAAATACATGAGTACTCAGCTTATCAACTCTTCTAGATACAGTTTGATGGGAAACTGAAACACATTCAAAATTTTTGGCCATCTTTTCATCTCCAAAGGATTGCGTCATTTTAACGGCACACCGCTTGATCATTTCTCCATTTCTAAATGCTTTTTTACTTTTGACAAACTCTTCATACTTCATATGAAGCTGCTAAGTTTGATGATTGAACAGCTGTCGATCTTGTAAATAGAGATTTTGTTTATTCAATTTAGCTTTAAGTTCTTTTACAAGAGTATTACGAGCTTCACCTTGATATTTGTCGTATTCTGTTTTGTGTTGGGTTTCATAATGCCTACTAATATTGTATTCTTTTAACACCGCGAGTATTTGACAGCAAATAATGCACTGAGGTTTGCTAATTCGATGAAGAAGTATTGGTTTTCCGATTTTCCTTGGAACGTACGATTCTCTTCGAAAATTTTGCGGTTTTTGGCACTACTCATTCTGAATTTAACATTCAATTTATTCGCCACTGTTAATTCAACACGACACGTGCAGCTGACTGAAACTAACTGACCGCTCATTATGAGTGGGTGTTCAAGGTTAACGACAAAGTTATCAATGGCGATATTTTTGAAATGTGTTTGCGGGGGCCGCAGTTTAACGGACCTCGGGCCGCTTGCGGCCCGCGTGCCTGAGGTTGGACCACACTGGTTTATATAATACGAGGCGTGGTTATCAATTATAATTCAGAATAATTCATCTAAGTTAATAATAATAATTGTTAACTCTATTTTATACTGGATATTCTAGTAGGAAAAAATCAATGCTTAAGATATGTTTTTGTACTCTTTCATATTGTTGAAGTATAACATCGCATTATTTAAAAATATCGATTTTGTTAAATATTTCGACTTTCAAAGAAAAAGTTAATAACAAAATATTGAAATAAACCAATTTTGAGCAGTTAATAAAATATTGATATTATGAACCAGTCTTCTTCTTCTTCACGTGCCATTTCCGCGACGGAGGTTGGCAATCATCATGGCTATTCTGATCTTAGATGTTGCTGCTCTGAATAGTTCAACTCATGTGCATCCGTACCATTCCCAAGTTACGCAACCATGAGATTCTTCTTCTTCCTACACTTCTCTTGCCCTGGATTTTCCCTTGTATAATCAATTGAACCAATGAACCAGTAAATAATGTTAAAATCGATCTCTCTGAATTGCTCACGTTCATCTTAAAGTTCCGTATTCTGTCGAAGGTTGGAAACGGAACCATTTTCTAAGGTTCCCACACCAGAATATTCTTCACCTTACTCGAATTTTGGAGTCTTAGATAATGAGTTGTAATAATGTGTACTTTTTCCCTGTCATAACATGTTCAACAAACATTATTTTGTCTATTAATTTGTTATTTTTCTCTGTTATTTTGTCTATTAATATTATTTTGTCCAGATTTAGCCATACGGCTCACATTTCCTCTAAGGGGAAAATTGACTTATCCCAGATACCTACGGTATCAAAAGGATTGAGCTCTGGTCGAGCTCTAAATGACTTGGTACTCAGGTATCTCTCAAAAATTTTCGTACACTACGTATCTGGACGTTGAGAGTAGCTTTCTTCATGGTCTTGTAGATATGTTCATTCAGACCTAGCTTTTTAATGTTTTCTAGGAGGTTCTTCGTAATGACTCCAGTAGTAGAGAGAATAATATTGGGATATGGTGTTCATCGCTAGACAAAACCACAGTGGGCTCAACGAGTCTCCATGAAATAGGCCCCGGTTGATTGCAATATTATTAGTTTCGATATTGTTTTCACCAGGTATTTGGAGGTGAATTTTTGTCTTCCAATCTGACATAATATGCTTGAAAAAGGTCACTATGTTATCATCGACTTTATATTTTATTTATTTTGTCTATTAATATTCATATTTTCTTCGTGTCTGCTACTTTAACTACAGTGCAAATACAACTAGTATTAACTATAGGAAAAGAACAATAACTTTTTAAAAATATGTTACAACAATGTTATATCTACAGCGTACAATCTAATGACAAGGCTGAATGAATTGACACCATCTGGTTAAACCATCATACGTCATCGGGTGACGGTGGCACCAGCTATTATTTGTGTTACATATCTTCAGTAATGTCGGATTCCATCGTTTTATTCGTAGAATGACGTCATTAAATGAGTGAGTCCGGTTCATAAGATTTTGTAAGTAAAGTGTTAGTCTTCTGTTGTGTGGAACCAACTAAAATCCCGCATACCTAAAAAAATTTTCATCGCATAGTCTGTCTTAGTTAGGATTTTTTCGATTTATCTATATAATATTTTGTAATACATGATTATTAGTCAAAACTCATTAAATTATTTTTATTTCAAGAAATTGAAAAACGTTCCATGGTACGTAGAACGAGCTTTAACGGATATATCTCTAGGTGGTCTACTGATCATAATAGTAATTCGAACTGTGCAGTACAATATGCTCAAAATGAGGGACAAATATTTACACACCAACTGTCTCGCCGCACTAGCCAACATGTCAGCTCATTTTAGGAATTTGCACCCTTACGTGAGTCAAAGACTGGTGTCCCTTTTTGAGACCTTAGCCAAAAAGTACAATAGATTGATGTTGAGACTCAAGACTGACAATTCTCAGAGAGACAATAAAGTAACTGTAGAGGTAAGTACACCATATTATATTACAATGCAGTTCTTCAGTGCATTTTTAATTTTATTAACCACTTCACAACTCCAAATAAGCCTGCTGTGATCACCATCATCATTCTGGCTTTACAACCCTGCGTGTGCCCTAGCCTCCTCAAGAATTTCTCTTTAGTCGTTCCTATCCATCGCCTCTCTCACCCAAGCACGTATATTTCTCATGTCTTCATCGATGTTATCAAGGAACCTTGTTCTAGGTCTTCCTCTTCTTCTGTGAACAATGGGTCTATCAAAGAGCGTTTTTCTAGCTGGGTCATTTTGTTCCATCCGCATTACATACCCTATCCACCTCAGACGTCCTATCTTAATATGTTTTACGATATATGGTTCCTGGTATATTATATAAAGTTCGAAGTTGTATCATCTTTTCCATACTCTATTGTCATCGCTGCTCCATACAACACTGCTCCGTTCTCTCAACAATATTGATATCATCAGCATAGGCAAGGATTTGCACTGATTTATTATATATTGAACCAATGGTTGTGATTTGTGACATACATATTACTTTTTCCAGAGCCAGATTGAACAGTATACACATTTGAAAAATTTAAGACGGAACATAGGGATTTTTAATACAATTACTAAGATCCTGCAATTACCCAGTGTAAATTTCAATATAACGTCGCAATGTCTTATATTAATTCATTTGTTCAACTGGATTGCTGCTTCTTAGCGATTTGTAGTAGCGTATTCGGCAGGTGTATGTCGACACTCTTGTCTATCGTCCACTGATTTTCTGTGTTTTTGTGCAGATAATAACAATGTTTTATTAATAACAATTTTTTTGTGTTCATTAGATATTTGAATTGGTTAGTGTATAGTTTAATATATTTATTATTCCAAATATTGTTGATAATTTAAAATTTAAAAGGATGTATATGATACATCAAAATCTACAGATTTTTGCCGAAGGTATCTACCGATTTGGCAACAGTCCCAAGGAACATCACTAGCCAAGCAAAACAAATACATATGCCCTTTGCTTCTCATTATAACGCCATAAGCTGAAATAAAAGTAGAGTTTCTAACCATAAACCATGTATACAAACAAAGAAAAAGTACAAATTTTAAAATGGTATTTTGGGGGCAACTCGTACCGTGATATTATAAATTTATTTACTTGTGCCTATGAAGATAGGCCAATACCGACACAATCAACTATTAGTCGTATTATTAAAAAATTTGAATCGTTTGGTTGTGTACAAAACTGTCGAAAATGTACGGATCTACCACAAGAGAAAATAATCAACGAAGTTCGGCAAAATACGGAAATTTATGTTTGTAGTGTTGCTGAAACTAGTGATCCTTGTTCAAGCAAAACTATTACTGAAGAAGTTGACATGAATGATAGGACGGTCAGGAATATTTTGAAACGGAATGTTTATCGTTGTTTTAAGGTTTCAACAACTCAAGAGTTATTAGCCGAGGACAATTTCAAGCGTATGGAATTTTGTGAACTGATGATGAATAAACAAAATGAAAGTGAACATTTTTAAAAAAACATTTTGTTTACCGATGAATCGACATTTTCGTTACATCGGAAACATAATCCTTCTGTCGTACGATATTGGTCTCGGCATAATAAATACTTGAGTATTCCAGTACGAACAGATTGAACAGTATACACATTTGGAAAATTTAAGACGGAACATAGTGATTTTTAATACAATTACTAAGATCCCCTGACCTGCAATTACCCAGTGTAAATTTCAATATAACGTCGCAATGTCTTATAATTAATTCATTTGTTCAACTGGATTGCTGCTTCTTAGCGATTTGTAGTAGCGTATTCGGCAGGTGTATGTCGACACTCTTGTCTATCGTCCACTGATTTTCTGTGTTTTTGTGCAGATAATAACAATGTTTTATTAATAACAATTTTTTTGTGTTCATTAGATATTTGAATTGGTTAGTGTATAGTTTAATATATTTATTATTCCAAATATTGTTGATAATTTAAAATTTAAAAGGATGTATATGATACATCAAAATCTACAGATTTTTGCCGAAGGTATCTACCGATTTGGCAACAGTCCCAAGGAACATCACTAGCCAAGCAAAACAAATACATATGCCCTTTGCTTCTCATTATAACGCCATAAGCTGAAATAAAAGTAGAGTTTCTAACCATAAACCATGTATACAAACAAAGAAAAAGTACAAATTTTAAAATGGTATTTTGGGGAAAAACAAAAACTTAATGTTTGGACAGGTATTTTGGGGGACTATATCGTCGGTCCATTTTTTATTGATGGTAATTTAACGGGAAAAAAATATTTAGAATTGTTCCAAAATAAAATTATTCCAGCAGTTCAATTACTTCCTGTCAACTTTGACGATATTTAGTTTCAACAAGACGGCTGTCCTGCTCACAATACACGAGCAGTTCAAAATTATTTAGAAACCATTTTTGGAAATAAATTAATTTCTTCTCGTGGTACGATCAAGTGGCCTGCCAGATCACCAGACTTATCCCCAAATGATTTTTTTCTTTGAGGATATTTAAAAACAAGTATTTATCGACATGGTTTTAAAAGAACCCGAAATTTAGCGAAATTGAGGGACAAAATAATTCATCTTTTAAATTGTATTCATCAATTGTATTAAAAATTCCTATATTCCGTCTTAAATTTTCCAAATGTGTATAGGAGAGAGGGTCTCCCTGGCGCAGCCCCTTTATTTGTTTTAAGAGGTTCAGACAGTTCCCCCCGAATTCGTACTCTACATTCAACTTTTTCAAGAGTTAGTTTTGTTAAATTTACCAACTGATTTGGTATTCACAGAGTCGTAGGCTGCCTGGTAGTCTAGAAATATGTGATGAGTATCGATGCCATATTCCAGTGTTTTTTTTTTTCAAAATTTTGCGTCAGGATTGCAATCTGATGAATTGTCGATTTACCAGTTCTGAAACCAGCCTGGTATTTTCCTATTATCTGTTTTGACAGAAAACAAACTGATAGTACATATTGTTATGTGATAATACATAAAGTCTTGGAATCTGATTTAGGTTTTTTTGTATCTTTATGGTTTATAAAATTTATTGTTTTAGCTTGACCACGAATCTGACGATGTAGAACAAGACGTTTCAGTTTTGGAAGAAGTGTTACGTATGGTGTTAGAAATTTTGAATTCCTGTTTATCGACACAACTCGGAAATAATCCCAATTTGATTTACACGATGCTTTACAACAAAAGCATGTTCGAATCTTTCAAGGACAACGTCGTTTTCCACGATATAATCCACAATATCGACATAATCCTGAAGTATTTTTCACAGCTTTTGCATGACAAGTCGCTAGAGCACGAAGTCGATGCTCATCAAGTCTTATTGATAATCCAGCAAGGAGTTAGAGGTTGGCCAAAAGAAAGATTAACGGTAGGTAAATGTTTTTTCAAATTGTTATTTGTGTAACAAAATTGGTTTAAACATTTAATGATTTTTTTATCTTATTGTCAAAGTAAATGCTATCAAATATAAAAATTCAAAGAAATAAGTGTGCAAAAATTAAACTATGCATCAGGTTTTATATCGTCAACACTGCTATGTTATGTTGAAAGAAAAGTTGTCGAACAAAATCAAATTTACTGTTGGATCGGGCTCGTTCATTACGGTGAATTTTGTTATTTAGAAAAATAAAATCATTCTTGACTGAAGCTATACTCTGTTTTTTAACCAGGAGGAGTAAACCAAAAAGACAGATTCACACCCAAGAAAGTTACTAGAAAAGTCACCAAATACATCTTCTTTTTTGTTGATTATCTCGGCCTTGCGGTAATCAAGTAATCAATATCGGACAACCTTCCACGTCAATTCTAACCTAACTTTGTTAATTTATGTTTGAATTTTAATTTTTTTTAATTCACTTCCAATAGATATTACAATTATTACAATAAAAAAAGGACGTTTTTCACATTTTTCACATTCATCTAAGTTTGGTTTTTCACATAAATTTGTCTTTTAATTTGCAAATAGATCTAATAAATATGCAACAAAGCTATGAAAATGCACGTATCAAAAACTTAGAGACAGTTCAAAGATTTCTGAAATACTGTTCTTTTATACTGCGTAGACCATATTTTTATTCTGATGTGATTAAATTCTTGAATATAGGTTTTTTTTTCTTACCAGAAGAGTTAACTTTGACTTTGATCATTATTTTTAAGCTTAATAATCCAATCTCCTGAATTGCTTCAGGCAATTTCTTTTACATACTCCTTCCCGTTCACTGCTTTAAAATTCACTTTTTCATATTTCCCATCAGAGAATAAATTATGGTTTAAATATAGGTGTGATATTTTGGTAATCAGTTACCTCATTAGATAGATTTGTTTAACTTATGTATCAATATCTTTAGGTTCTATTTGTAGCACTATATGCAAAAAGATACTTTGTATAAATAAGTGTGTACTTCCAATTTTTTTAATGCTGGATTCTTGAGTTTGTAACATTTGTTGTCAATAAATAAAATTGACTAAAATTAACAAATTCAATTTATTATGTTACATTCAAGCATAATTGTGCAGTTTTCTTGTGATTATCTACAATCAGGAAGAACAAAACCAACTGCATCAATGCAATCAAACTAAAACACAATATTACTTTACTAATGTTCTTTTATTGTGATGAAAACAAATGCAAATGCTTCTTAACAATACTTTGAACAATATTTAGTATAAATATCATCTAGAAAAATATCACATTAAATAATATTCGCATATCACCAGTCTGCTTATATTCTTTAATTGTTTGGTTAATAGTTGAATTCGCAACACCTAAAATTAGCACATTACTTTAGTAAGTTTTGATTTTAATAATAACTATTCTGCAAAACTAACCTGCTGCCTGTTTTACTTTTGCTACCGTGGCTGTTATTTTCAATCCAGAATTATCAATTTTCATTATTTATACATGTTTATAAAACATTGTTTCTTATTTGTTGATAAATGACCCAAATCTACTCGGCGTTTTTAAGGTGGAGAAGAATAATTACCACTAGTACTTGGCATTGAATCCATATTGTTATCTTAATAACACTAAATAGTTCTGAAAAAAAATGTTCTTTATATAAATGCAAACGAAAAATCTATGAATGTAAGGAATAACGCAGAAAATACAAAAAATCGTCGATATAAATTTTGAATTTTAAAATTTCACAAATGTCATTAGTGTGAATATGTCATAATTTAGTGGAGTAAACTTGCCTGCGGTTGAACCAATTACAAACAAGAATTACGGCGCGGAAAGTTTGAATTACTCCTCCTGGTTAAAAAACAGACCATAGTACCTTTTATCTATTAAGGAAAGAACTATATTATTAGAAGAATTACGTTATATTAATGACGTTGTAAAAGTGGTAGAAAAAAATGAAATTTTAAAGAGGCAAAATATTACACCGTTATTTATTATTGCAGCTGCATTTAGAATAAAAAATTAAGAAATAAAACATATCATATATATGAAACTTGCATTTTTTATGAAAAAGTTCTATAATGCTGAAAAAGTCAGTTACTTTCTTCTGCACAACCCTTTCCGAAAAATAAAGTTTTTCTGTAGTGTCCTTAATAATATGAGCTGCTTCTTTCGTAGTTGTGGATGCCTCCCTGAACTGGTAAAACCTGGATATGGTCTCAGCAGCTCTCTTGGATTGTAGGAAAAACAATGCCGTCTTCTTCTTCAGTATCCTCATCAACATCCATTTCCACATTTTGCACTTGTTCCACAGTTTCTTTATCCTTTAAAAATTGAAATGTTTCTACCTGATCGTCTACTGAAATGTAGAAGTCAAAATCAGTTCCAAACTCTCTCTGGTTTATATTAAATTTTTGTATCCACTCTGACAAAGGCATTTCGTCATCCTCGTCAACATCCTGAACATTGGGAGAAACTACAGACAATTTAGCTTGGCGAAAACACAGTAGGACAGTGAATAGCGAAAATTTCTTTTAAACTGACTGTTGAATGGCACTGATAAATGGGAAATCATAGAACTGTCAAGGTCACATAACTGTACACAGAAGGGATAATCGGGCTATCTCACATTCTTGAAAGGAACAATGCCGGAAACGCATTGCATTTTATTCTTCATAAAGTAAAAAACGACAACCTACTGTAAAATTTCATGATGCATAGACGAGGCTTACTTTATTTTTAGCCGATAAAACCAGGTTTTTAATAACGTTATCGAATAGTTTTTGACCGGACCTATTAAAAAATGACGTTACAACCGAGATGACGTAACTACCGAGGCCGTAATATCCAAGTTCCACTGTATTATCCTTTGTCAACACCATCTTCTTCTTCTACGGCACTACAGCCCAAAATGAGCCTTGGCCTCCTTTATTTTTTGCCTCCACCCTTGTCTGTCTGTGGCTGCTCTTCTCCATACACGGACTCCTAAAAGTGCTTGTGCGTCGCTGCTTACTGTGTCTTCCCAGCGCTTTCTTGGCTTTCCAACTGGTCTCTTTCCCTGCATTCTGGCGTTCAGTGCTCGTTTTGGTAGCCTATCCTCTCCCATTCGTATCACATGCCCGGCCCATTGCAATCTTTGTATTCTAATGAAGTTTGACAGGGGTGTTTCCTTATACAGTTGATAGAGCTCGTTGTTATATCGAATTCTGAAGATTCCGTTTTCCCTCACAGGTCCTAGTATTCTCCTCAGTACTTTTCTTTCGAATGTGTCGAGTTTGTTTTTGGATGTTTCTTTCAGGACCCATGCTTCGCTGCCATAACATGCTATTGGCCGAATTAAAGTTTTATATATTCTCGTCTTTGTATTTCGGTGGACACTTTTAGACCGAAATATATGGGAGAGGGCAAAATAAGCTTTGTTTGCCTGCGTTATCCTTTTTCGTATTTCTTCATCCTCTGCTCCATCGGCATATATTTCTACTCCCAGGTATGTAAACTTTCCAACCGTTTCAATGTCATCTTCATGTATAATGTTTTGTGGGATTATATTTCTTCTCGTCTGTACCATTATCTTTGTTTTTTCTTTTCGTTTGTGTTTTTAACTCTGCGTATGCTTCCTGTGCTCCTGTTGATGTTCTACTCATAATATTAATATCATCGGCGTAGGCAGCCAGTTGAACCGTTTTATTGGTCAGTAGGTTTTCTCGTCCAGTTTGCATTTGCCTGACCGCATACTCCAGTGCCAGGTTAAACAATGTTGGTGCCAGCCCATCTCCCTGCTTTAGTCCCTGCGAGATTTTGAAAAAGTCTGTCCGGTTGTTTTGTATTCGTACACATGCCTGAGTTTCATCCATTGTGGCTTTAATGAGTCTAATTATGTGGTATTGCTAATTCTGCCAATATATAGTATAGTCTGTCCCTTTTGACTAAATCGTATGCCTGTTTGAAGTCTACAAACACGTTGTGAACATCAATGTCGTGTTCCCACGATTTGCTCAAGACCTGGTTGACTGTAAATATTTGATCCATTGTCGATCTTCCCCGTCTGAAGCCCGTCTGATATTCTCCAATAATATTTTCTGCTAGTGGTTGGAGTCGCTGGTTTATAATATACGTGAGGACTTTATACGCTGTACATAGTAGAGAAATTCCACGGTAGTTTTTGCATTGGAGTTTGTCTCCTTTTTTATATATTGGGTATACTATACTTTTCTTCCATTCGTCGGGTATTTTCTCTTCTGGCCATATTTCTTTGATAAGCGCGTGGATATGACTTGATAGGAGGTTGCCACCTACCTTATACAGTTCTGCTGGAATCTCGTCAACTCCCGGGGCTTTATTGTTTTTCTGGGCCTTAATAGCTTCGAGAACTTCCTCTATGGTTGGAGCTTCTACTTCAACTTCGTTCTCTTCTACATGGTTCGTACCCATTTCATCTTCCATATCTACTTGTGTTCCAAGTAGGGTCTGAAAATAATGCTTCCAGGTTTCTGTGACTTTCTGTTGGTCACTGATTATTTGCCCACTTTCATCTTTGCATAGGCTTGTTTGAGGTTTATATCCACTTTTTATCTTTTTTAGGTATTCGTAAGCTCCTCTAATTTCGTTTTTTTTTTGAAATTTTGTTCCATTTCTTCTATTTGTCCATTTTCATAAGCTCTCTTTTTGTTTCTGCATATCTTGTCTGCTTTCCGTCTTGCGACTTCAAATGATGTTCGTCTTTCCCGTGTTCTTCTTGTTATGTACATTTTGTGCGCTTCGTTTCTTTCTTCTATCGCTTGCCTGCACTCGTCATCAAACCATGTTCCTCTTCTCTTCTTTTTCTTGTTTCCCACGGTGGACGCTGCTGCTGTCAGCACTGCTGTTTTGATATTATTCCATTTGCTCTCTATGGAGTGCAGTTCTTGTGTCCTTAGCTCATTTGTCAACACCATATAAAATAATATTTATGTTCCCTCTATCCAGAAATACACATCTTGGTTTTCCAGAACGTACCTATGTACCCTATGTACGAGATGGTGCAGTGCTCTGTAGAGACCCCTGCTTGATACGCATACTGTCCCTGATCTGTCGGACTTTCAACCCATATCATCATTTAACCCGGATCTATCCACTGCTGGATATAGGTCTCCCTCAGTCTTTTCCATGTATTTCTGTTTTGTGCTGTTTGCATCCAATTTTTGTCGATCCGTTTTATGTCATCAGACCATCTTGTTGGTGGACGACGTCTACTTCGATGTGCTTCTTCTCTCGGTCTCCACTGTATTATTCGCTTTGTCCATCTGTTATCCGACATTCTAGCTATGTGCCCCGCCCAGTTCCACTTAAGGGTCATAATTCTTTCTATGGCATCTGTCACTCATGTTCTCCGTCTTATTTCCTTGTTCATGATCCGATCCCTACGAGAATTGCCTAACATCGATCGTTCCATGGCTCTTTGGGTAACACAAATTTTATTTCTTACTTTCTTGGTTAGTGTTAATATCTCTGCACCATATGTAAGTACGCACTGATTAAAGACTTTTCTTTTAAGACACATAGGCAGTTCTGGTTTAAGAACATAGCTCAGCTTGCCGAATGCCACCCAAGTGAGTCCTATGCGGCGGCTTAGTTCGCACGTTTGATTATCTCTTCCTATGCGTATCTCATGTCCTAAGTACTTATAAGAGGTGGTTTCTTCAATATGCATGCCATTTACTGAAATCTTTTCGCTTAACACAAGATTTGTCATGATTTGTGTTTTTGTGTGGTTGATTTTTAATCCAACTTGTAGGGAGGCTAGGTATAGTTTCTCCAGTTGCGATACTGCATCATCGATTCTGTCAGCAAAAAGGACAATATCGTCAGCAAACCTCAAATGACTAAGCATTTCTCCATTGACATTAATTCCTTTTTCACTCAGATTTGCGTTCTTAAACATATGCTCTAATAATGTTATAAACAATTTTGGCGAAATTGTGTCTCCCTGTCGCAGTCCCCGTTTTATTTTAAATACGTTTGTCTTTTTATCTGCCAGTTTCACACTTGCTGTCCCATTTTGATAGATGTATAACCCATATACCATCCCTAATATGCCTATCGATTCTTCTCAAAATATATATCCAAACATTTTGTAAAAAATATATAAAAAGGCTGTCTCAATAAAAGACAGAAACAATAATTAACATTCATTTTATGTAATGCCATCCAACGTCGACATCGGGAGCAATTTTTAAAAACAGTCGATTGAAGCAAAAACAAACCTACAAAACTTTAAATTTTAGATTTTAAAAACATCGATTGACCTCATAAATCTTTCCATACTGCGACCTGAAGAATCTTTCGTGTATAGTCTACATCTATATTTGGTTCAACAGATCTAGGCTTCTAAGAAAACATATACAATATGTTCGACCGTTTTCTCTGTACTTTCACAGAACCTGCATGTTGCTCTGTTCACTTTGAGTATATTATAGAGATGATCTGAGCGAGCAGTGTCCAGTGGGAACAGCTATATGAATTCAGTTTTTTCTGTCTTCAGCTCTGAGTATTTTTGAAACATTTTGGCTTGCCTTTTCTCAGTAGGCAACTCTAAGTTTCTGCTTGGCGTAGGTTACGCTTATAGAACCGCACCTATTTAATCTTTTGCCTTTCGCTTCAACCCTGTCTAGTTTTTGTAGCTATTGGACCTGCTGTCGAGACTGATTTTAGTCAAGACCTTGCTTTATCAGGTACTTAAACGCTCTTTCGGTCCTTGCTTCTTCCTTTTAGTCAATACTAGATGACTTCTCTCTTAAAGTGCCCTCTCCTCAATGGAGGTTGGCTACTACAATTTTAAACTCTTCTCTATCTTCAGCTGTTCTTATTAGCTCTTCAAAATTTAGCCCTGTCCATTGTCGGATGTTTCTGAGCCACAATAGTCTTTTCTTTCCTAGGCCTCTCATTCCCTCGATTTTTCCTTTCACTATAATTTGGACACATTGGTACTTAATATTTCTCAGTATGTGGCCTAGGTATGATGTTTTTCTAACTTTTACTGTGTTAAAAAGTTCTCTTTCCTTGCCTATTCTATGCAGCACTTCTTCGTTTGAGGTATGCGATGACTAGATGACTACTTTTCTATATATTCCTCTTAATCTCCGGTACTATGGCCTGGAACGCAATCTAGTTCCATCGCTTCCTGATTGTCGTGAGTCAGGTTGCGCAGTCACTCTCCCTGGTCTGTTTGGTTTATTTATCCTTTCCATTTCCACTTTTGTTTTACGAGACTTTAGGTAATTACGACAGAACCCCACATGCCAGAAGAAGGCTAATGAAAGCTGGATGGCGCCCGATAGTAGTAAGTACTCTAGCTGAGTGCGATTTTTTCTGCCCCATCCATCCTTTCCGTCTCTTCTCATCTATTTTACCTGCCAACTAAGGCAAGCTCCCACATCGGCAGTACTTACTCATCAACCACCATCTTACCGATACAGTATATAAAGAACGAAACGTAGTAGTGAGATCAGGTGGCACTCAATCTCTCCCTTCATTCTGTTATTGTCCTTTGTAGCTTCTGTTCAGTTGTATCCACCTCAAAAAATCAGTGAACACGACCGAACCTGAATAGTCTCTCCACTAATGGTGAAACAGCTATCGGAACGGTTTTAAGGTAAATAATCGACAGTGCAATCTGACTCTCATTTTCGGGTTTCACCCACACGAAACTCGTCTTTAAGCAGTACTTAGCTTGTCAACTTCAAAACAATTGGGACCAAGACTTACCACTTCTTGGAAGGGTACATACATGAATTAAAATTTGTATTTATTATTTATGTACAATCAATTACAATTTATGTACAGTCTTTATTAAGTATGATGTTTACATACCTTTTTTGATTCTAGAAATTCCCTGACCTCAAATTTAAATATGTCGAAGAAGATCAACCGGAAGACTTTTTCATTCCTTACATATGGGCCCTGATAGGTCAACAATCAATATTACACTGGGTAACTGATTCGTCACCTTCAATTGTGGTAGTTTAAACTGTATCTTTAACCTTAAGAATCAGTTGTAAATATGTATGTTTAGAAATGAAAATAAAGTTGTAATGTAATATGTATTTATGTACAAATTTGTAACAAATATTAATATATTTTATAAAAATAAATGTTTGTTGCCATTTTAATTTATTCCCAAATAAAAGAAAAAGTATTTTTAACCCTAAGGTGGTCGCATATGTATCAAAATGATACAAGCTCGCCAATTGTCAATGCTATTATTGAAGCCTAAAGTAAGGAGAACCAACCTTTATAGTACCTTCCTAGACTGGTTTAGTCTACCGCTCAGTCGTATTTGTGACGTCCTAGTGATTTAGTGTGTTTACAGACAAGCGTATTGTATCATATTGATACATTGCGACATAACATGTAAGTTTTGTTTTTGTTTGGTCGTATTTTAGGCTATTTTCGGCGTACTTATTATCTATGAGTGTTATTTTATATTTTATTTCAGTATAATGGCTGCAAAGCGGATTTACAACCTAAATAATCCGAATGTAGAATATCTTCGAAAATTTATATTAGAAGAGGACGAAAATGAAGATGCCCCTATCGAAGTGGAACATTTCGAGGATGAACCGGACACAGATGCGAAAAATCAGCCAACGGATGAAAGAGTTTATGGCTCTGATACTGAACAGAGTGGGTCAGAGGAAGAACCAGATTTACACGACAATTTATTTTATTTGGAAAAGATAACACCACTAGATGGATGAAAACACCATGCGAACAAGCGACACACTGAGCCACATAACCTGGTGACACGTCTCCCAGGAGTAATACCTGAAGCTCGACTAGATAAGTTACATATAGAATGTTGTAGTCAGATATTTTCTGATAAAATGCTATAGACAATAGTCAAGTTCACAAACCAATACATTCAACTTAAAATAAGGAATCGCTTTGACCGGCAAAGTGATGCAACTGACACGGACATGAGAAAACTTAAGGTCTTCATAGGCCTTTTATATCTAGCAGGAACTTTGCACGCCAACAAAATGAGGCTCAAGTTTCTTATGAGATATCTACGTTTCGATGACCGCATCACAAGACCTGAAAGGAAAGCTATTGCTAACATTGCGCCGATTCGTAAACTCTTCGACGATTTTGTTCATAATTGTAAAGATAGCTTATTCGGTAGGACAGTGTGTGTCTATTGACGAAAAACTGGAGGCTTTTAGGGGACTTTGCAGGTTCAAACAATATATCTCTTCAAACCCATCCAAATACTGAATAAAAATTTATGTTATGTGTGATGCAGTTATTTTTATAGTTATATCCTGGAAATATATGCTGGAAAGCAATCCCAGGGACACTATGAACAAAGTAATAAACCATCTCATGTCGTTAGAAGATTGGCACACTCTATTTATGGAACAGGGCGCAATATAACGGCAGATAATGGGTTTACAGATGTGCAACTTGTTATCGAATTAAAAAGTAATAGACTGTGGTATGTTGGCATAATAAAGAAAAAATAAAATTGAACTGCCAGTAGATCTGCTAAATGTAAAAGGGCGACCACCACAGTCAACTATGATTGGTTTTGTAGAACACTCCACTATTGTTTTCCAACGTACCAAAAAATAATCGAAATTTTCGTGTTATATCTTCTCAGCATTACGATGATTCCATAGATCAGACGTCAGAAAAAGCTACGAAACCAGACATAATCACATATTATAATAAAACCAAGTCAGACGTCGTCGTTGGCCCATGGTCATCTTTTTTTCCATGCTGAACGTTGCAGGCATTAACGCCCAAGTGAAGAATATACGGCGTCGTCTTTTTCTTCGGAAACTAGGCCATGTAGCCTTATCACAATTACAAAAAAGAGGTATACCAAGTTCTTTTTCTGAAGCACTCAACAGATTTAGACCAACGGAAGAGTCCGATGAAGAAGCTGAACTAGTGGCTGCAAAACATGTAGCACAAACAAAGCGTCGTCGCTGTGCTTTATGTTACACATCACGAAGGACCACGTTGACCAAAACCATTTGCAAGAATTGTAAAAAAAAACCCGTGTGCACTATTATTGCTATTGATATTGTTTATAATTAAAATTATTTAAACCATTCCAGGTAATTCTTTCTCTAAATATAAATTGATTTCAATTGAATTAGACTTCCCAAATTAATATACGTATTATGTACAAAAATAAATCGTTCCCAAGGCGAAGAACTCCATAGTTTTGCACAGAAGTGAAGGACAAATGTAAAGAAAAGAAAAAAGCTTACTTAAAAATACATGTCAACCAAAACACAAGAGGCATACCATAATTACAAAACAATCAGAAACGAAACACATGAACTTGTAAGAAAAATAAAAAATGATTACTGGCAACGCTTTTCAAAAGAAATGGAACTATGATTTTTACGGTCGGCCAAAGGAAATATGGCGCTTCATAATGAGGTCAAAACACGGAGGTAAAGGAGCTAATAAAACCAAAACACATAGAAACGGATACGTGGATTGACTACCTAAAAAAGGTATATGTGGATGATGAAAAAATGACGCTAGAACCGAAAACACCAGAAATTAACACAACAAGTATTGTAGAGCAGCAATGCATGTTAATTATTACGCTAAAACTTACAACTAAAATCTTACAAGTGCTAATAAATCAGAGGATAAATTTAGCAGATGAACAACAGGATTTTCGTAGTAGAAGATATTCGTTATAAAGCAAATGTCTGAGCAATCACTAGAGTATAATAAAACAGCATTTCTGTGTCTGATTTACCTAAAGAAAGCCTTTGACAAAGTAAGACTCAAAGATGTAATCCATATTCTTTATAATAGAGAAGTTCCCATAAATATTATAAAAACTATCGAAAACATCTACCAAAACTACAAAATGGCAGTGAGAATAGATGGACAACTTACAGAACCTATAGAAATAGGCAGCAGAATAAGACAAGCGGATTTATTGAGCCTCATGCTCTTCACTTTGATCATGGATGAAATCATCAGAAGTGTTAACAAAGGAAGGTTAACAAACAAAGAAATCAAAAAATACTCTTATGCAGACGACGCAATATTGATAGCCAAAGATGAAGATAGTCTGCAAAGACTGGTCCACGGATTTAACATAAGAGCAAAAGAATTGATTATATGAGAATCTCATCTCAGAAAACTAAAACAATAGTAGTCAGCAAAGAACCTTCTTCTTCTTCTTAGTCGTTAACCTGATGCAGGTATCGTGATATCATGAAGCTATTAGCTAAATTTCCCAATGTTCCTCCACGTTTTTCTATCTTCTGTCATTCTAGCACATTCTGACAATGGAGCGCCAATGGTAGAAACAATATGGTCCGTGTATCGTGTGGGAGATCTACCTCTATTTCTTTTGCCTTCTACTTTTTCCTGGATGGAAAGTTTTTCAAGACCATTTCTTCGAAGCACATGTCCAAAATAGCATATTATTTGTTCTGATATTTGTGTTTTTCTTTATGTTTAGCTGGTTCAGTATGAATTCATTTGTTCTTCGGGCCACCCATGGTATTCTCAGCATTCGTCTTCAGTAGTACATCTCAAATACATCTATGTTCTTTTTGTCTTTCTCAGTAAGGGTCCAGCATTCCGATGCATAAGTAAAAACTGGAAAAACTAAACTTCTTACTAGTCTCATTTTTGTATCGGTAGTTATTTTATGGCTTTTTCAAATTTTTGTTAATTTTGCCATAGCGCTTTTTGCGATTGCTGACCGCCGCTTTATTTCTTCAGTACAGCCTCCTTTGTTGGTTATTACTGAGCCCACATACACAAATTTATCTACAACAGCGATATTGTTTATCATGACCGGATGATTTTGATTGTTGTTAGCTCTGTCAATTATCATGATTCTCGTTTTATCTCTGTTTATTTTAAGGCCCATCGTTAAGCTTACGTCTTCTATCTGTTGTAGCAGGTGAATCAATTCAGCTTCAGAACTAGCGAGGATAGTAGTATCATCTGCATATCTCAAGTTGCAAATCTTCTTCCCGTCAATGGTGATGCCACCGTTCCAGTCCTCAGTAGCTTTCCGCATTATCCATTCCCCATAGATGTTAAATAGGATTGGGCTTAGTATGCAGCCTTGTCTCATGCCCTTTGTGACCCTGAAACTATCGGTTAGTTCCCCATTTATTTTAACTTTGGCATAATTGTTATTGTACAGGCTTTTAATTAGCAGTATCAGATGATTGGGGACTCCCATTTCAGACAAAACCTGCCACATTTTACTCCAGTTGACCAAATCGAGAGCTTTACTATAATCTATGAAGCACAAATATGTTGTGATGTTGAATTCTCTGGATTTTTCTACAATCTGCCGTACGTTTAAAATTTGTTCTCTAGTACCACGTCCGGGGACGAAACCTGATTGTTCCTCCGCAATGTTAGGTAGTAAAAAGGGCTTTATCCTCTCGAGAATTATGAGCAAAGAACCAAACAGTGTTAAATAGAAATTGATGGCATCAGTATTGGACAAGTAATGGAAATAAAATACCTGGGAATTACACTGTCTAGCTATGGAAGCCTGGACAAAGAAGTGAGAGATCAAGTCCAAAAGGGAAATAAACTGACAGGATGCCTTAATAACCCTATATGGCGAAACAGACACATTCAAACTGAGATCAAGTCAAGAATTTATAAGGCCAGTGTAAGACCAATAATACCATGCATCGGAAACAAGACCTGACGCAGCTACAACGAAAAGGCTACTGAAGACGGCAGAGATGAAAGTACTGAGTAGAATTACAGGAAATATGATGAGAGATCGAAAGAGAAGTGAAGACATTAGAAGAAAATGTAAGTACAGTCTATAAATGAATGGACACAAAATAGAAAAAAAAAAAGAAGGGAATAACCATATAAGCAGAATGGAGGAGACACGTGTCGCCAAAATAACAAGAGATAAGTCACCAATCGGCTGAAGAAGTATTGGACGGCCGCGCAAAAGATGGAGGTGACAACCTTCCATGGAGGTATTATTCCACCAATGAACAAGCTGAATTGCTTATAAAGAGGAAGAAGAAGACAATGTACCTCTGTATCTATACAACCTGCGGTTCAGAAGCAAAAGGATAAAAACCCGGTCCCGACTGTCGAGTTTTAATAATTTTTTCTCTAGTTGGAGTGGTTAAATTTTGACCGACTGGTAGTGTCTGGAAATTACTATACAACCAACCACACATGCTCATAGCCAATATTTATACAAAAAAATATTCACATATAGTTTATTAACAAATTAAAACTGCATTAATTTAACAAAAGTTTATTTTTGAAATTTCATAGATTAGTATTTACAAATGTAAAGATTTTAATGAAAATTAATGAATATACACTCCCTTTTTTCTTGTTTATTCAACGCAAGAAGTCTGCAATATTATTTTTATTTGGGGTAGGAATTTTTGTATGTATTATATTTTCAGACAACGACTTTCTGAAATATGAGCTGAGCGAACGGACTATAAATTTGATTCATTTTACAAAATGAGAGTTAGAGAGAACATTTTTGGCAGTCTAAATTTTGACGAATGCGATATTTGCAATATTAGAAAATTTGTTAAAAGGCATGTTAAATGTCGATAAAGGAAATTAATATATTACTGGTTGCATACTAAACGGGCGAACCCAAAGTCTTTTATATTAAATATTATATGATACCTGGAGAATATATGTTTAACTCATAGATAAAATTACACCTTTACTTTAATGTTTTATTTTTAGTAATAATTACAGCATTAAGTTTAGCCAAATAATTATAAAAACTTATAATGAGTAAAAACTTCTTTTTGAAAATGGTATAAAATTTTTATTATTAAAATTTTTAAAAATTATCCAAAATGGATTTATACATTTTCAGAACAAAATCATCAGTGAAAAACGTCTGTATAGTATTTGGAACTACCTACATAATAAGGTCAGATGACCCTTAAATTACATAATTGGAATAACTAACATTATAATTAATAAGGCACTAGGTCGATGATAAAAGACTACATTTTTAAGGGAACCTACAAATTACCAGCTCGAAAAAGGGAGCCTTATGCCATGAGAGCGGTAGGTATAATAATTACCTTTTGATTGTTGTAACAATCAATTGTTTAGTGTTCTTTAAGTTCACAATAAAGACGGCCCTGAGATAACATAAATAAAGTTGGCAACACTGCCAACGCCAATATTTTGTTCTGTGAAACTTAATTGACAGCTAATTTGAGACCTTGATGGGTTGAGTTCGTTGAGTTCACGGCATCGAGCAATAAGACAAAAGAGGGAATCTAATTCTTATGAAAAGGAGACCAAAAAAGTGGCCTCTGATGGCGGACATATCCGGAAATGCGAATGCGCGAAATTTAAATTTTACGACACTTATCAACAGTAGCTATATAATATTTTTCAGAATGTGTCTTAGACGAGAAAATTTTAATTAATTATTAATAATAAGAGTCTAAAATGCGACACAATTGTTAAAAAACTTCAATATAAATAACATTTCATGTGACATTTGGGACAAACAATAACATAACCCAACTAAATTTGATGTCAAACAAGGAGAGAGACTCTCTATCCTTGTTTAAAGTGGCCTCTAAAGATCGCACTTCCTGTCTAACAATATGTTTGCCCCATCGAGCAATAAGACAAAAGAGGGAATCTAATCCTTATGAAAAGGAGACCAAAAAAGTGGCCTCTGATGGCGGACATACCCGGAATGCGAATGCGCGAAATTTAAATTTTGCGACACTTATCAACAGTAGCTATATAATATTTTTCAGAATGTGTCTTAGACGAGAAAGTTTTAATTAATTATTAATGATAAGAGTCTAAAATGCGACACAATTGTTAAAAAACTTCAATATAAATAAGATTTCATGTGACATTTAGGACAAACAATAACATAACCCAACTAAATTTGATGTCAAACAAGGAGAGAGACTCTCTATCCTTGTTTAAAGTGGCCTCTAAAGATCGCACTTCCTGTCTAACAATATGTTTGCCCCACTACCTTTACATTCCCTCTATTGTCTTTTTGCTCGATGGTTTGCCCCCACCATCGAGCAATAAGACAAAAGAGGGAATCTAATCCTTATGAAAAGGAGACCAAAAAAGTGGCCTCTGATGGCGGACATATCCGGAAATGCGAATGCGCGAAATTTAAATTTTCCGACACTTATCAACAGTAGCTATATAATATTTTCAAAATGTGTCTTAGACGAGAAAGTTTTAATTAATTATTAATGATAAGAGTCTAAAATGCGACACAATTGTTAAAAAACTTCAATATAAATAAGATTTCATGTGACATTTGGGATAAACAATAACATAACCCAACTAAATTTGATGTCAAACAAGGAGAGAGACTCTCTATCCTTGTTTAAAGTGGCCTCTAAAGATCGCACTTCCTGTCTAACAATATGTTTGCCCCCACTACCTTTACATTCCCTCTATTGTCTTTTTGCTCGATGGCCCCCACTACCTTTACATTCCCTCTATTGTCTTTTTGCTCGATGGTTCACGGCACAGAATAATAAACAAGCAGAAGACCCACTCTCCACGGAAAATTAAGTACGCGCATCTCCTCCGCGCAGACGTTCCGCCATGTTTTAGGAGGATTTTAAAGAAATTAGTGTTGTTTATGTGGTGTGTATGGAAAAATTAACCAGGTTTATTTGACTTACGGCAATCATAGACATACTATACAATTATATTAACATTGTTAAATATAATAACATAAATATAATATAATTAAACATAAATATAAACAATTACATAACCACACAAATCATATGTCTGTCCTCCTAAAACATGGCGCGCGTGCTGAAAAACTTCAAAGGCGGCATCTGAGAGTGGCCCTTCTGGTTGTTTATTATTCTGTGTTCACGGTTTAAGCGGTGGCACAGAATAATAAACAAACAGAATGCCCACTCTCCACGGAAAATTAAGTACGCGCATCTCCTTCGCGCAGACGTTCCGCCATGTTTTACGAGGATTTTAAAGGGAACCAATGTTGTTTATGTGGTGTGCATGGAAAAAAAACCAGGTTTATTTGACTTACGGCAATCATAGACATACTATACAATTATATTAACAGTTTTAAATATAATAACATAAATATAATATAATTAAACATAAATGTAAACAATTGAATAACCTCACAAATCATATGTTTGTGTCCTCCTAAAACATGGCGCGCGTGCTGAAAAACTTCAAAGGCGGCATCTGAGAGTGGCCCTTCTGATTGTTTCTTATTCTGTGGCGGTGGTTTAAGTCCGGTCACAGAATAATAAACAATCAGAAGGGCCACTCTCAGATGCCGCCTTTGAAGTTTTTCAGCACGCGCGCCATGTTTTAGGAGGACACAGACATATGATTTGTGTGGTTATGTAATTGTTTATATTTATGTTTAATTATATTATATTTATGTTATTATATTTAACAATGTTAATATAATTGTATAGTATGTCTATGATTGCCGTAAGTCAAATAAATCTGGTTAATTTTTCCATGCACACCACATAAACAACACTAATTTCTTTAAAATCCTCCTAAAACATGGCGGAACGTCTGCGCGGAGGAGATGCGCGTACTTAATTTTCCGTGGAGAGTGGGTATTCTGTTTGTTTATTATTCTGTGGTCCGGTTGAGATCAAGGCTGCCAGGTCTAGGGATTTATCCCGAATCTAGGGATATTTCAGTATAAAAGGGACAAAGGGATTTTTTTGATATTTAGTGTAAAATCTAGGGATTTTTGACCGGCTCAAATATTTACCCACGTAGACCTATTATAATAACATTTTCTTTAATTCAGGTATAAAACCACTTCGTATTAACATTATTAAATACACGATCTTTCATTACAACTAATTAAACTAACAGTAAACTACTTAAAGATTCTATTATCAGATGTCGCTAACTGTCCACGTTCTTGGAATCTTTATTTTATACTACCAAATAGATTTCTGTCAAAAGTAGATTCCTATATATTTTCAGAAAGAAGCAAATTCTGGAGCTGGAATTAGGGGATTTACAAAAGTCCTAGCTTTTATAAAATAAATAATTAGGGGATTTACAGTAGGAATCGGGTGATTTACAGGATTCGTGAAAATCAATAAATAAAATTCTATGCTTCACCGTTTCATTTCTCTTCAAGTTGTATTTTGTATTAATTTCATCAAGTAATTATGTAAAGAATACGTACGTTATTCCGTTTTTGTTAAATTTATTCAAATGATGGTTACTGTACTGTTTATGAAATAAAGGTATAAAACAACAATTTTTTTATATCAATGTTATTATATTAGGCAACTATCAATACATCCCATAATTTTATTCAGAAATAGGCAACCATATATACTTTTATTCCAATCTAGGGATTTCTAGGGATATTTAAATGTTCAATTTAGGGAGGACAAAAATTTTCACCTGGCAACCCTGGTTGAGATCAAGTTGAGATAGCCGCAAATGTCAAACATGGAACTGTAGTTAAATATAAAAAAATATAAAGCTAGATAAATAAAAAAGTACATTTAGAAATATTTTCTATATTCTTTGATGTATCTATTCATGACATTAGACGATAATGATTAATGATACCAAAGAATATAGACTCTATATTCTCTGATGATACGTCTATGGATACCTTAGATACTCTCTTTCCTTGTCTATGATGGACACTGTGAAGGAAGAGAAAAAAGAAGAATTTATGTATTGGAATTGAGTGAGGTTATGGTTCTAAAGTTAATAACAAAACCAAATAATTGTTTCAAAGATGAACAACTTTTAATAACAAACTACAAAAATTATAAATTGCTGAAAAGATGACTAGTAAACTATCTCCGAATACTTTCCGTAGTGTATTTAAGACCATCGACAAAGAATTACTACGGTGGTTTCCCGGTCACATGAACAAAGGTTTAAAACAAATGCAACATAAATTAAGATCTGTAGATTGTATTATAGAAGTTCACGACGCAAGAGTGCCAATATCTGGTAGAAATGCCGATTTTAAATATACGGTGGGTGGTATTAAACCTCACATACTAGTTCTTAACAAGGCGGATTTAATAGATAAATACTATTTACATTCAATCGAAAATAACCTTAAACAAGAATATCGACACATAATATTTACTCACTGTAAAAATCAGCAATGCCCAGGTTTACTACAAGTCTTTCCTTTAGCACAAAAATTGATTAAGGAATCTGATAGGTACAACAGATCCAATGAAGAGGATTACAACATTATGATCATTGGAATACCAAACGTTGGGAAATCTAGCTTGATTAATGCTTTAAGGACAAGGTATCTAGGAAAAGGAAAAGCTACAAGTGTAGGCGCTGTCCCAGGTGTAACACGAAGTGTTTTGCATAAGATAAAGTTATGTGAAAAACCTTTATTTTATATGCTAGATACACCTGGAATTTTATCACCCACTATTTCAAGTGTAGATGCTGGTTTAAAGCTTGCTTTGTGTGCAACTGTTGAAGATCATTTTGTAGGTGAACGCATTTTAGCAGACTATCTCCTATTTTGGTTAAACAAACATAGCCATTTTGAATATGTATCATATTTTAATTTAACTGAACCAAATGATAACATTTTAGAAGTTTTAACACATATCGCCGGGGTTAATAAGAAGACTATTAAATTTAAGGATCACACTAATAACTATGTTATTAGACCAGACTTAGATCAAGCTGCACATATGATGTTAAGAGCTTTTCGAGTTGGTAACTTAGGAAGGGTAATGTTAGATGAAGATTTACTCAGGTAGTACTGTATTCTTGTTTATATTAGTATATTTTAATAAAATTGTTACCAATATCATTGTTTTATTTGTCTAATCTTTAGTTAAAAAGTTCATTTTAACTTTAAACTGAAAATGTCAAATAAAATACAATATATTTCTATTGACAGAATATTGAATACTTGAATAAGTGTTTTCAATATAAGCAACTGAATACTAGTACAATTTACAAATAAATTTGCAACACAAAACTAAACTATGGACTGATTAAATTGCTCTAGGCAAATAATATTAGTATTAGTAACTGTTATGAAAACAAAAGTTTCAGTAATATGTTTTATGTAACAAGTTCCGAAAGTGATATTTTATGAGAAGAGCAGGAAGTTTCCAGGGCGAGTCTGTAGAATCCTATTAGTCTCGTAAAATTACTTTTGGATTGTGTTAAGTACAATATTTTTCTGCAGCTGTTTTGTATGCTAAAAAGAATATATGGATAAACTTTACTTATGAACTTTTATTAAATACTTTAGAGTTACTCTTGTGAATTCAACCTTTGATAGAAATTATTACAATTATTTAAATTGATATTGTTAGGAATATTAACAGGAGTGGCAGTATTGAAATTAATGTTAGATGTGTCGGTACTTTTACTATTTTTTGAGATGCAGTGGAACCTCGATTATCCATCTCTCTATAAACCATCACTTCTGTTAACCGTCAGTGTCCATACATAGGTTATATTGACTACATAAATAAAAAGTTTAGTCGTGAACACATTTTATTTGAGCATTGCGATAAGCCTGAGCACTTTTTTATATAAATCATTTTTGTTCTTACTCAGGGTTCTGGATTAAATTTCAATTTAAATAGGTAATGATAAATGATACCAAGTTTTTAGAGATCTATTTTTATAATCGCAAGCCGAAAACAAAAACGCAAAGCATAATAATTATTATTACAGTCAATATATGTGTGCCACCATAATCCAGTTTGATTTAAATTCGAACATTGAATGTGTCACTTAGTCGTTTGATCAACTAAGTTTTGAAAAATGGAGCCTTCCACATCTGGAGCATCAAAAAGAAAACATGTTGTTTTGTCAATTGAAAAAAAAAAATAGAAATTATTGCAGAACTAAAGAAAGGTTTTTCTACTGTCGCATTGGGCAAAAAGTATGATGTTCCGAGAACATCATAGAGATCAATGGTTTAAAGAAAAATGCTGAAGGAATTGAAAAGTATGCTTCAAAACTGGAATCGTTGGATGGCCGGGTGAAACATCGTAAGACAATGAAAAAAGCCACAAATGAATCACTCGACACGGCTCTGTATTTGTGGTTTGTTGAAAAAAGAAGCGAAGGTGTTCCTTTGTTTGGACCAATTGTTGCCGAAAAAGCGTTGTTGTTCAACATAAAATTGAATGGCGATCCTTCATTCAAAGGAAGCCGCGGTAGGTTTGAAAAGTTCAAAAATCGCCACGGTATACGGAACTGAAAATCGTAAAAAATATGGAATAAAAAAAAGTTAAAAATTGAGCGCCACAAGTATTGAAGTCGTTGACGAATATAAGAGAACGTTTCAAGCTATGGCCGATAAATATGGTTTGACACGCGATCAAGAATTCAATGCGGTTGAAACTGGTTTAAACTATAAAGCATTGCCAACGAAAACACTCGCTGCACTGTCTGAAAAATATACACCCGGATTTAAAACGCAAAAGCAACGAATCACAGCAATGATGTGTTCAAATGCAAGTGGTGATCATCGCCTTCCTTTATTATTTATTAGTATTTACAGCAAAAAAACGTTATTATATTCGCTATAAATATTCGCTGACTGGTTCAAAAAGGTATGTACTGCAAACCAAAATTTGTTTATCTTTTTTTCCAACATTTTGTTTTTTAGTTTTTTATACCGGCCGTTCGACAATACTTGCAAGCAAAAAATTTGCCACCAAAGGCGACTCTCATTTTGGACAATGCACTTGCCCATACTGAAGCCGGTATGCTGCGAAATGAGGATCGAAATATTATGTGCTCTTTTCTGCCTGCCTTAATACAACATCATTGATCCAGCCAATGAATCAATCGGTCATTGAAACATTCAAAAGAAGATACAGAAAAAAAATATATTCAAAACCTAGTTTTGGAAGAGGAATATTCTTTGCCAGAATACTGGAAAGCATACAATTGAAAACACGTAGTCGACAATGCTGTGGATGCTTGGGCTGATGTTTCGCTAGTAACACTGAAAAGTACTTCGGGAGTAACGCTAAAAAGAACGTGGAATAAATTATGGCCTGAATCAACTCAAGACGAAAATGCCCCCGTGATAGCCGAACGTGATGCAGTAACAAATGAAGTTATGGCTGATTCAACTGTTTTGTTTTCGTTGCCTAAAGATGACATAAACGAATTGTTAATTTGTGATGGGAACGCAAACGGCTATCGATTGCTGATAGATGATGAAATCGTTGAAATGGTAACGGAGGCGGACGAAACTGATTCAGAAGCTGACACAGTCTTTGACGGTGACGATGATATTGCAACTCACAAAGATTTGCCTAAAGAAGCTAGAGAAGCTGCATCGCACATATACAACAATTCATCGAGTGGTATTCTCGGCAAGAAAAAGCAAATAAGGTAGATTTGGCGATTTTACGACAATTAATAAATTCAGCCATTTCAAAATGTGAAGTAACAATACAACAAACAAATATTTCGGAATAATTTAATCAAATTGATTCGACTGTACTAACATAAATTCCTCTTATATTGTAAAATAAAACATACAAATAAAATTTGAGAGTTATACTTTGAATTTTTTTTAATGTTCTGTTAAACGTCTTTTCGATTATTCGTCATACCCTTGGTCCGCTGCCCTGACGGATAATCGAGGTTCCACTGTATTAGCTTGGTTGCGACCATTTCTAATCTGTGAAGCTATGTGAATTTTATTTTTTAAAGAATTTTCTACTTATCCCTCTGCTACATTAGTTGATTTCCATCCTCCGTGTCTTTTCAAGTTGGTTATAGTACCACCACTATCAGCCAGTAAAGTGGCTGAGCTCGTTCGTAGACAGTGTCCGGTGTATTCTATGGGATGCGGTAATTTAAGAAATTCAGCAATAGTGCAGGTCATTTTTTCCAAAAGTGTGAATACCAATAGGTTGTATAGTACACCTAAATAATCTACGATGCGCTGTGTTTGCTTGACATAATGACAAATATTTTCTGTATAAAGAAATGTTATTTTCTCCAATAACCAAAAAGGTTCTTTCTATGTTCGTTTTAGAATTAGGAATTTTAATGACTAACATGGTTATCTTATCTTCTATATATCTAAACTCATTTTGCAAAGCTCCTCAAGACAAGTGCCTGCCAAACCAATTATTAATGCAACCTAAAATTTACAAAAAATTACTAAACAAAAAAAAGAAATTAGATGTAATTATATAACCTTTGTAATTAAGTAGACCTTATCTTCTTCAGCTTCCGATAAAAATTTATCCATTTCTTCTTTATTCAATACTTTCGATTTTTTTGGTTTGTAGCCGATGGATTATCTTTTAAGGAAAGCAATAACTTTTGGACAGCGCCTTATATCTATATTATTTGTTACGAATATTTTTTTTATCATGTTACCCAAAATTTTCCGTTGCTACTGTTCTATAGATTATGTCAGATATAATATTAAAACTTCAGAAAACAAACTGTTACCATAGATAAATAATATAATATTAGAAAAACTGTTACAGATTAGGAAAAAAATTTAAATAATTTAGCGGACAGCAAGAGAACAGTAAGTATTGGGAATTATTTAGTTTTTTATATTGTTAATTATATTTACTGTAGGAATTTGAGTTACTTTTCGCAAATAAGAACAGTTCACTACAAATCCGTCAATTGCTGGCTATACAATAAAGATAAATTCCTAACACTATTTTTAATGTTAAGTGTACACTTCGAGCATCGAGTAATTACTCCAAAGGCTTGATGGCTTCAAGATATATTATACTATATCGATTGCTTATTATTCTTCTTTCTGTACGAGTTGTGTAAAATGGTCGAAAGTTATATTTTCGGGACGGCATTAATTTAAAGAAAGCTAACATGCCATGAACTTTTATATGGATCTTATGATGCGTGAAACATTACGAAAATGTTTGTATGATTTTTAGTCCCTAGAAACAGTACTATATAGAAAATGGCGTTATAATGCTGTCGTTTCCTCCACATTGCACCCACGAGATGTAGCCATATTTTCACCTCTGATGGCATAATTTAATTAGGAAGTTATTTTATGGATTAAAAGAAACCCTGGAAAAGTCGTAACTCTGTATAACATAGCTAGCTTGTTTGAAAAATCGTATCGAAGAGCTGCCACACTTGACAGCGGACTTACTGTATTCGAGAAAACAGGAATCTGTTCTTTTAATCCGAGCTTATTCCCAGATTGGAAATTTAAACAGTCGTGTACAACTAATCAATCTATACCTAATGGAAAATGAAACCGTTGATCTCATCTATGAACAAAGACCTCCTCCACAAAGAGATACTTCTTCGCTCCCAAGTGCTTTACCTATAAGGAAAGGAAAAATTCGTAATATGTCTATATCAGACGACTCACAGGAATGGGAAGCAAGTGGATAATCTTCAGATTATATCAGCCTTTTTGGAAATGGTCCGGGGAGGTTATCGGAAAATGAAACTCAATTCACTGTAGCTTCAAATCCGGAAGTTTTTTCTTTAAACCATAAAGTCGATATTACAAGGTCTGCAATAGGTACTCAATCCCAATTTCCGAAGTTAGCACATCAGAACAGAATGGTGGCGTTAAAAGAAATGAAATTCCATCATCACTGGAGGATACTTTTGTAGCTCCATATGATATATCTCCACTACCTCAGGCACCTCCTCAGGCAAGAAGTTCAAGACCTTCGCAAGAATCAACTGTGTTCACGTAGGTATAAACCAAATCATAATTTGATGAAAGCAAAGCAAAAACACCCAAGTTAACTTCACAACCAGCTAGAAAAGCTGTAAACAGAAAGGTGTTTGGAAAAAACACAAGAAAAT